TCAGCCTTTCATTTAAAGAACCACTAAAGCCTAGTGTCCAGCCTGACTCCGCCCACATGAACTTTACCACAGGCTCAGAGTGATGTCACACTGCACTCCAGAGCCATTGAGAGTCCAGGACCAAATTTATATAGAGAGGGCGCTGCACCGACGGTTTCAGATTTTATCTAATTTGCACTAAAATTTCATAAAATGGAACAGGACATGAGCACTGTAAAAAACATATTAATGCAGTTTATGAGTTTAAAAAAAAGTGGATTTGGTTTAATTTGTTTAATTGTCCTTTATAGAGACGGATTAATCAAGCAGTTTTAACTCGTTCTAATTTGTTCCGTTATGTTTACGTTAAGATTTATTTAATTATTTTTGAAGAAATCCTTTGTTCCCTTCAGGGTTAGGGTTCTGAGTTACACATGTGCAGTACTGTGAGTTACTGAGAAACTTTTATGCATTTATATAAGAATAAGGTACGGATTTATAAGGTTTCTTTTCTTCTTCATCCTGCTCTTCTTCTTCCTTTTATGGTACTGACTAACGTTGCTAATTGGCGCAGTTCCAACACACACAGCTTCAGTGGATGTGTTGATATGAATTATTCACTCTCCTCAGACTCAGACCCACAGACATGAACGCTCCAGAGCCACGTCCCTAAAAGTCCACATCCCCCGTTCTCTGTGAGAGCGTCCCGCCGACTCTGAAACACACAGAAGGACTCCGTGGATTCTGTCACGTCGGAAATCCGCTGAGATCAATAAAGTTTATCTAATCTTGTCATGGTTATAGTTGTTTACTACGTCCCTCAAGATTCCTGGAGGGTTTCAGGTTATGTCACGTTTAACCTGATTTTAGATAGTTCCCTAAAAAGAAGAAGGTCGTCATTAAAGCGCCTTCAGCAGGTGCAGAATGCTGCTGCTGGTCTCACTTCACTGACTCACAGGGACAGAGAGAGCACATCACCCCTGTGCTGGCCTCACTTCACTGGCTCACAGGTACAGAGAGAGCACATCACCCCTGTGCTGGCCTCACTTCACTGGCTCACAGGGACAGAGAGAGCACATCACCCCTGTGCTGGCCTCACTTCACTGACTCACAGGGACAGAGAGAGCACATCACCCCTGTGCTGGCCTCACTTCACTGGCTCACAGGGACAGAGAGAGCACATCACCCCTGTGCTGGCCTCACTTCACTGACTCACAGGGACAGAGAGAGCACATCACCCCTGTGCTGGCCTCACTTCACTGGCTCACAGGTACAGAGAGAGCACATCACCCCTGTGCTGGCCTCACTTCACTGGCTCACAGGGACAGAGAGCACATCACCCCTGTGCTGGTCTCACTTCACTAGCTCACAGGTACAGAGAGAGCACATCACCCCTGTGCTGGCCTCACTTCACTGGCTCACAGGTACAGAGAGAGCCCATCACCCCTGTGCTGGTCTCACTTCACTAGCTCACAGGTACAGAGAGAGCCCATCACCCCTGTGCTGGCCTCACTTCACTGGCTCACAGGTACAGAGAGAGCACATCACCCCTGTGCTGGTCTCACTTCACTGGCTCACAGGTACAGAGAGAGCACATCACCCCTGTGCTGGCCTCACTTCACTGACTCACAGGGACAGAGAGCACATCACCCCTGTGCTGGTCTCACTTCACTGGCTCACAGGTACAGAGAGAGCACATCACCCCTGTGCTGGCCTCACTTCACTGGCTCACAGGGACAGAGAGAGCACATCACCCCTGTGCTGGTCTCACTTCACTGGCTCACAGGTACAGAGAGAGCACATCACCCCTGTGCTGGTCTCACTTCACTGGCTCACAGGTACAGAGAGAGCACATCACCCCTGTGCTGGCCTCACTTCACTGGCTCACAGGTACAGAGAGAGCACATCACCCCTGTGCTGACCTCACTTCACCGGCTCACAGGGACAGAGAGAGCACATCACCCCTGTGCTGGTCTCACTTCACTGGCTCACAGGGACAGAGAGAGCACATCACCCCTGTGTTGGCCTCACTTCACTGACTCACAGGGACAGAGAGCACATCACCCCTGTGCTGGCCTCACTTCACTGACTCACAGGGACAGAGAGAGCACATCACCCCTGTGTTGGCCTCACTTCACTGACTCACAGGGACAGAGAGCACATCACCCCTGTGCTGGCCTCACTTCACTGACTCACAGGGACAGAGAGCACATCACCCCTGTGCTGGCCTCACTTCACTGACTCACAGGGACAGAGAGCACATCACCCCTGTGCTGGTCTCACTTCACTGACTCACAGGAACAGAGAGCACATCACCCCTGTGCTGGCCTCACTTCACTGACTCACAGGGACAGAGAGCACATCACCCCTGTGCTGGCCTCACTTCACTTCACTGACTCACAGGGACAGAGAGCACATCACCCCTGTGCTGGCCTCACTTCACTGACTCACAGGGACAGAGAGCACATCACCCCTGTGCTGGCCTCACTTCACTGACTCACAGGGACAGAGAGCACATCACCCCTGTGCTGACCTCACTTCACTGACTCACAGGGACAGAGAGCACATCACCCCTGTGCTGGTCTCACTTCACTGACTCACAGGGACAGAGAGAGCACATCACCCCTGTGTTGGCCTCACTTCACTGACTCACAGGGACAGAGAGCACATCACCCCTGTGCTGGCCTCACTTCACTGACTCACAGGGACAGAGAGCACATCACCCCTGTGCTGGCCTCACTTCACTGACTCACAGGGACAGAGAGCACATCACCCCTGTGCTGGTCTCACTTCACTGACTCACAGGGACAGAGAGCACATCACCCCTGTGCTGGCCTCACTTCACTGGCTCACAGGGACAGAGAGCACATCACCCCTGTGCTGACCTCACTTCACTGGCTCACAGGGACAGAGAGCACATCACCCCTGTGCTGGCCTCACTTCACTGGCTCACAGGGACAGAGAGCACATCACCCCTGTGCTGGCCTCACTTCACTGGCTCACAGGTACAGAGAGAGCACATCACCCCTGTGCTGGTCTCACTTCACTGGCTCACAGGTACAGAGAGAGCACATCACCCCTGTGCTGGCCTCACTTCACTGGCTCACAGGTACAGAGAGAGCACATCACCCCTGTGCTGGCCTCACTTCACTGACTCACAGGGACAGAGAGCACATCACCCCTGTGCTGGCCTCACTTCACTGACTCACAGGGACAGAGAGCACATCACCCCTGTGCTGACCTCACTTCACTGACTCACAGGGACAGAGAGCACATCACCCCTGTGCTGGCCTCACTTCACTGACTCACAGGGACAGAGAGCACATCACCCCTGTGCTGGTCTCACTTCACTGACTCACAGGGACAGAGAGCACATCATCCCTGTGCTGGCCTCACTTCACTGACTCACAGGGACAGAGAGCACATCACCCCTGTGCTGGCCTCACTTCACTGACTCACAGGGACAGAGAGCACATCACCCCTGTGCTGGCCTCACTTCACTGGCTCACAGGGACAGAGAGCACATCACCCCTGTGCTGGCCTCACTTCACTGACTCACAGGGACAGAGAGCACATCACCCCTGTGCTGGTCTCACTTCACTGACTCACAGGGACAGAGAGCACATCACCCCTGTGCTGGCCTCACTTCACTGACTCACAGGGACAGAGAGCACATCACCCCTGTGCTGGCCTCACTTCACTGGCTCCTGTTACCTTCAGGGTTGATTTTAAGATTCTGATGCTTGTTTTTAAGTGTTTAAATGGTTTGGCCTCTGTATATCTGTCGGATTTCTTAAATTACACAAGAAGTATCTTATTTTAGCACATTCGAACTGAGCCTTAAAACCAGATTCTTCAAACAGGCGGAATGAGATGAAATGGCTTTGCAGTGTTGGAGAATCTTGTTTTAAGACAGAATGTGCTCTGATTAAATGTTCTGCCTCGAGCCGAATCAGGTTGAACCGAAATATTGTCGTGAACAAAGTTAGAAAATGGTTTATATGAAAAGATTAAAGATCGCACCACACTCAGGAACGGACTGAACCCACCGTCAGAAAACTGCAATGAACCTCAAACCTTTTAGTTTCGCTGACGAAACACAAAACAAACAAGCGTCTCTAATGGATCCCATCAAAGCTGTAACTGGATTACACCGGATCTCAGACAATCTCATAAAACCTCAAACTTAAAACCTTCGCAGCTGAGAACCGGAGCCGAGGCGGTGTGCGAGACGGACCGACGGAGAAACGGGATTAGAACTGCACACACACAAGTATTTATATCACACACAAGTATTTATATCACACACAAGTATTTATATCACACACAAGTATTTATATCACACACAAGTATTTATATCACACATACATCCATCCATCCATCAATTTTCTTCCGCTTTATCCGTTGCCGGGTCGCGGGGGCAGCAGTCTAAGCAGAGACGCCCAGACTTCCCTATCCACACACACTTCCTCCAGCTCGTCCGGGGGGACCCCAAGGCGTTCCCAGGCCAGCTGAGAGACATAGTCCCTCCAGCGTGTCCTGGGTCTTCCCCGGGGCCTCCTCCCGGTGGGACGTGCCCGGAACACCTCCCCAGGGAGGCGTCCAGGAGGCATCCGGAACAGATGCCCGAGCCACCTCAACTGGTTCCTCTCGACGTGGAGAAGCAGCGGCTCTACTCCGAGCTCCTCCCGTGTGACTGAGCTCCTCACCCTATCTCTAAGGGAGTGCCCAGCCACTCTGCGGAGGAAGCTCATTTCGACCGCTTGTATCCGCGGTATATAGAGATATATAGATATAGAGATCTTGTGTGTATATCACACACAAGTATTTATATCACACACAAGTATTTATATCACACACAAGTATTTATATCACACACAAGTATTTATATCACACACAAGTATTTATATCACACACAAGTATTTATATCACAGCTATGAAGTAAACAAGAAGGGGCCCACGAGTGACCCCTGAGGAACCCCCAAACTGCACGAGTTTGTCCTGGTGCGGACTGGTTGGTCATGGTGCGGACTGGTTTGTCACGGTGCGGACTGGTTTGTCGTGGTGCGGACTGGTTTGTCGTGGTGCGGACTGGTTTGTCACGGTGCGGACTGGTTTGTCACGGTGCGGACTGGTTTGTCACGGTGCGGACTGGTTTGTCACGGTGCGGACTGGTTTGTCACGGTGCGGACTGGTTTTAGCTCACTGCCAAAAATGATTAACTATGAGGCAATACTATCTGTGTCTCTGTGTGTCTCTGTCTGTGTCTCTGTGTGTCTCTGTGTGTGTGTCTCTGTGTGTGTCTGTGTGTGTCTCTCTGTGTGTGTCTCTGTGTGTGTCTCTGTGTGTCTCTGTGTGTGTGTCTCTGTGTGTGTCTGTGTGTGTCTCTCTGTGTGTGTCTCTGTGTGTCTCTGTGTGTGTCTGTTTGTGTCTGTGTGTGTCTCTGTGTGTGTGTCTCTGTGTGTGTCTCTCTGTGTGTGTCTCTGTGTGTGTCTCTGTGTGTGTCCCTGTGTGTGTCTCTGTGTGTGTCCCTGTGTGTGTCTGTGTGTGTCTCTCTGTGTGTCTCTGTGTGTGTCTCTGTGTGTCTCTGTGTGTGTCTCTCTGTGTGTGTCTCTGTGTGTATTTAGACCCTGTGTATGTTTCTTCCTGGTCCCTCCTCGTTGTACCTCCTGACAGTGGGTGTGCCCCGCCCACTCCTCTTCACACACATGTTCCACATTAGGACAGAACACACACACTGATATCTTTTGGATCGCTCCACGTTCTGAAACACCTCTGAGATTATTTACTTTGGAAGATAAAGGATTAAAGGATGTGATTTCTCTCTGGGACGATGAAAACTGTAAAAAATGAAGTGGAAACATGTGGATAATGTGAGTTTGAGTCATTCAGAGAAAGTTGTGACGATTCCAAAAGTGAGGTCGGTTTTGTGAGCGGCCATCTTGAAAAGGGAACTGTGGTTATTCTTTTTATTAATATTTTCCCCTTCATTAAAGACAACAAAACAGACGGACACATCATTCAACAAGAACAACACACAAACAGGATACAGGGGCCGGGATACGGGGGCCGAGAAACGGGGGCCGAGATAAGGGGGCCGAGATACGGGGGCCGAGATACGGGGGCCAAGATACGGGGGCCAAGATACGGGGGCCGAGATACGGGGGCCGGGATACGGGGGCCGAGATACGGGGGCCGGGATACGGGGGCCGGGATACGGGGGCCGTGATACGGGGGCCGAGTACGGGATACGGGGCCGAGATACGGAGGCCGAGATACGGGGGCCGAGATACGGGGGCCGAGATACGGAGGCCAAGATACGGGGGCCGAGATACGGGGGCCGAGATACGGGGGCCGGGATACGGGGGCCGGGATACGGGGGCCGTGATACGGGGGCCGAGATACGGGGGCCGAGATAATAATAAGAATAAGAATAAGAAAACTTTATTGTCCACCAAGGTGGAAAATTGCCTTTGGTTATCACCTTAAAATACATAAAAGACACACATCCAGCACAATGTGGCACTACATTCACAGAACAATTGGAAGAACAAACCAACAAAGCCACCTCCGGCCTAAAGACAAGAGTCAAGCTCAGGACTGCTCAAAGCTTAAGAGTGTTTACCGCTTTCACTGCTCTGGGCACAAAGGAGTTTTTAAAAATGTTTTTCTTAGCTGATATCACTCGATATCTCCGTCCTAACGGCAGAAGTTCAAACTTTGGGTTTAGCGGAAGCATCTTTAATGATGAGCTCAGCCTTCTTTCCCAAGCGCTCCTCGAACAAACACTGGAGAGATCTTTGTGGCTGCCCAATGATCTTCGAGCTCTGGTTCACGATCCTTTGGAGTTTGTTTTGGTTCTTCATGCTGAGGTTGCCAAACCACATCAGCATGTTAAAGGTGAGGATGCTCTCCACCAGGCTCTTGTGGACCGTCTCAAGGATAGAACGACTCACACAAAAATTATTCAGTTTGCGAAGCAGATACAGTCGCTGTGAGCATTTCTTAAAAATGAAGTCTGTGTTCGTAGAAAAGGTAAGTCTCCCATCTATGTATGTGCCAAGGTATTTGAAGTAATCGAGCATCTCAACATTGGGACCATGAATCTTCACTTCTATCAATGTCTCTTTATCAATGTGCACAATGAGCTCTTTTGTTTTCAAAACATTGATTTCTAAAAAGCTGTCCACACACCACTGCTGTAACATGGACAAATGATTAAAATAGAGACTCTCAAAAACAGTGTTCCCTTTCTGTAGTAAGGCAACAAGAGCCATATCATCGGCATATTTAAAAAGTTTAAAAGATTCCTCATGAACTTGAAATGCATTAGTATAAATAGAAAAAAGCAAAGGAGACAGAATTGTCCCTTGAGGCGCACCTGTATTTAAGACAGTCACTTCTGAGATATCAGAACCAAGTACTACTCTTTGAGGACGATTAGATAAAAAGTCTCTGACCCATTTGATTATACCTCCATTAACACCCAGGTCCATAAGTCGACTCATTAAAATATGTACCTGCATCGAGTTAAAAGCTGACGTGAAATCCACAAAGAGAATTCTAGCATAGTGGTCAGAGGGAGATGTTCGGCTACAGTGTTAAACAGACTTCTCCGACTTTTGTATGCAAACTGTAAGTTGTCCAAACAGTGTGATACAGAGGACATGATGTGTTTGCTTACAGTTCTCTCCATGCTTTTACACAAGATGGAGGTCAGTGCAATAGGCCGATAATCATTCAGTACAGATGCTCCAGGGACTCGGGGCAGGTGTGTGTCTGGAGAAGGACATTAAAAATCACAGTAAAAACACTTTTCAATTGATGCACACAGCTTTTCAGGAGTCTCCCTGAGAGGCCATCAGCCCTGTGGCTTTCCTTGGTTTTATCTGGGCTAAGCTAGCAGCCACTTCTTGTTCAGTAAGAACAATATGGTCATATTCTGGGATCGAATCGCAAATAAAATCACAATCTGAGCTAAAATCAGTCTTATCAAACCTACTGTAGAATACATTCAAGTCATTAACCGTTACCGAAGAAGAAGAGAGCGCAGTGCGTTTGTTCTTTGTCTCCCATCATATGGTCTAAGCCCTCCCATGCAGTCCTAATGTTACCTGAGCAGAAATTCCTCTCCACCTTCTTTCTATATTCTATTTTTGCTTTGTTCATCTGACATCTTAATTCTGATCTCTTTTCTCTGACAAGGTCTGAATTACCATTAAGGAAGGCTACCTTCTTTTCATTAATGCAAACCTTCAACTCACTTGTCATCCAAGCTTTGGTGTTGGGATAAATCTTAACAGTTTTTGTGCAAATGACATTACTTTCACAGAAGGTCAAATAAAATGTAATGGTATCTGTGAGATCATTTACATTGTCACAAGAGTCAAAAAATATCTGCCGGTCTGTTTGTTCTAGGCCCTTAAAGCCTCAGCACATCCTTTATTACTGCTCTTTCCTGTTTCAGTTGTGTCCTGTATTTCAGGAACAGGTGGACAACATAATGATCGGACCTCCCCAAAGCGGGCCGACAAAAGGATTTGTAAGCGTCCGGTATATTCCCATAGCACCTATCCAAGGTGCGCGTTTGGCGCGTGGGGCAGTCCACGTATTGCTGGGCTGTGGGCAGGTGACTAGCAAGATCACACGAGTTTACATCTCCAAGCACAAAGAGAGGCTGATCAGCTGATCTTGCAAGCGCGTCATTGTAACATTCTGCCACACGAGTTGCCGCCCCCTCAAAGTCACGACCGGGTATATACGTCATAATTATTGTGATCTGACCGAATTCCCTAGGAAGATAGAAAGGTCTAATAGAGACAACCAGGATCTCATAGTCACGTGTGCAAACTTTCTCCCGCACCGTATACTGCGTAGCCCAACGCTTGTCAACAAACATGCACAAGCCGCCACCGATAGATTTACGTGATTTAACATTGTCTCTATCCGCTCGTATAAGCAAGTATCCCGGCAAAGCAGGGATACTTGCTTTGCCAGGATACAGACAGATTCGCAGCAGCAGAAAAAGCACATATTCAGGTGTGTTTTACATTTTCACACTGTTCTGGTTCCACAGCTGCCCTCAGGAGGTTCTGGTTCCACAGCTGCCTTCAGGAGGTTCTGGTTCCACAGCTGCCCTCAGGAGGTTCTGGTTCCACAGCTGCCCTCAGGAGGTTCTGGTTCCACAGCTGCCCTCAGGAGGTTCTGGTTCCACAGCTGCCCTCAGGAGGTTCTGGTTCCACAGCTGCCCTCAGGAGGTTCTGGTTCCACAGCTGCCCTCAGGAGGTTCTGGTTCCACAGCTGCCATCAGGAGGTTCTGGTTCCACAGCTGCCCTCAGGAGGTTCTGGTTCCACAGCTGCCCTCAGGAGGTTCTGGTTCCACAGCTGTCATCAGGAGGTTCTGGTTCCACAGCTGCCATCAGGAGGTTCTGGTTCCACAGCTGCCCTCAGGAGGTTCTGGTTCCACAGCTGCCCTCAGGAGGTTCTGGTTCCACAGCTGCCCTCAGGAGGTTCTGGTTCCACAGCTGACCTCAGGAGGTTCTGGTTCCACAGCTGCCATCAGGAGGTTCTGGTTCCACAGCTGCCCTCAGGAGGTTCTGGTTCCACAGCTGCCCTCAGGAGGTTCTGGTTCCACAGCTGCCCTCAGGAGGTTCTGGTTCCACAGCTGCCCTCAGGAGGTTCTGGTTCCACAGCTGCCCTCAGGAGGTTCTGGTTCCACAGCTGCCATCAGGAGGTTCTGGTTCCACAGCTGACCTCAGGAGGTTCTGGTTCCACAGCTGCCATCAGGAGGTTCTGGTTCCACAGCTGCCCTCAGGAGGTTCTGGTTCCACAGCTGCCCTCAGGAGGTTCTGGTTCCACAGCTGCCCTCAGGAGGTTCTGGTTCCACAGCTGCCCTCAGGAGGTTCTGGTTCCACAGCTGCCCTCAGGAGGTTCTGGTTCCACAGCTGCCATCAGGAGGTTCTGGTTCCACAGCTGCCATCAGGAGGTTCTGGTTCCACAGCTGCCCTCAGGAGGTTCTGGTTCCACAGCTGCCCTCAGGAGGTTCTGGTTCCACAGCTGCCATCAGGAGGTTCTGGTTCCACAGCTGCCCTCAGGAGGTTCTGGTTCCCCAGCTGCCATCAGGAGGTTCTGGTTCCACAGCTGCCCTCAGGAGGTTCTGGTTCCACAGCTGCCCTCAGGAGGTTCTGGTTCCACAGCTGCCCTCAGGAGGTTCTGGTTCCACAGCTGCCCTCAGGAGGTTCTGGTTCCTCAGAACACCCATATACGTATTCAGAAGTCGTACCAAACACTTCATTATGAATTGTTGAAGTAAATTAAACATTTTAAATCATTGTCAATCATTTGGGATCAGTTTAAACAAACAGTCAATAAACGAGTATTGTTCGAAAAATCCACCAGAAAATATTCCCCAAACTTAGATAAAATACGATAAACGTTATTGATCTCACAACAGAGAAATGTAAAAAACTTTAAAATAAGACATGGCTCGGTGCCAACATACTGTAAAAACACTAATACTTTCAGTCCTGGGGATCTATTCTTTTTTAAATCCATTACTCCACCAAACTCATATTGGTTCATGCTAGCATCTTAAGCTACAGTTAGCTTGTATTTAGATATATTTGGTGAAAGTAACTACAAAGTACTGCAGTATTGTGATACTTTACAATCAGAGACAGTATTATTGTAACAGTAACAAGTAAAAGATGATGATGTTATTGAAGCTTTTTCTGAAGTTAAATTCTCCAAAAAACAACTGTTTCCTACAGACACTTTCAGTAAATGTTCGAACTCTCCCTGATCTGTGGAATGTGCTGCGTAAACATGTTCAGACTGTATTTATCCAGACGTCCAACTCTCCGGATCTCCAGTCCAATCCAATTCAACCTTTATCCAAGAAGAGCTCAACAAACGCCTCCTTAAAACAATGGAGGGTTCAAATCCCCGCTGTAATCACCAGCAGCAGCTCCACATGGTCCGCCCTGGCCCGGTCTGTGGTCACAGACGGACCATCAAACACCACTGGCTCTGTTTATACAGCTGACTTGACTTAGCATCAACGTTAGCGTCAGCGTTAGCGTCAGCGTTAGCATCAGCGTTAGCATCAGAGGAGCCTCTGCCAAACACACACTGTAAAAAAGAGGAATTCATGTCGGAGACGTTTGGGAACAAGACTTTTTAGTTTTAGTTTATACATGTTTGTCGGAGCAGTGGAAAAGAGAAGAGTTTGAACCAAATCAGAACAAAACACAAAATTATTTCATTTTAACACATGTTATATATTGATTACTCATAAGAGCAAAAAATACATGAAAAAACAAAGAACCAACTGTTTTGAGAGTGAAGAATGATAAGTATTTTATTACACGGTTATTTTTAACTTGTCCTGTTCATTTAAACCTTTGAATGATAATGTTTCCATTTGGTTCTAATCCAACAGTGTCTAAATCTGTCAGTTCTTTTCCATTGGTTATTATCTAAAGTCCTCCAGCAGCCCTACCCTACCCTACCCTACTCTACTCTACTCTACTCTACCCTACCCTACCCTACCCTACCCTACCCTACCCTACCCTACTCTACCCTTCTCTACCCTGCTCTACTCCGATTCAACTGGTACCAGGTAGAGTACAGTAGGGTAGAGTAGGGTCAAGTCGAGTCCAGTAGAGCTGGAGGAAACAGGTCTTAATGTTGTGAAAATTACCTTATCAGTTTTATTAACCAATAAAACTGTGAAATAAAAAATGTTTACTTTCAGTTTAACCGTGGGCTCGTCCTCGCCACAGTTTGTCAGATCCACGTTGCCAGATAAGCTGCGTGCCAAGACCAGACCTGGCGGAGATAAACACGGTCCGGGATGTTCTCTCCATCAAATTAATAAACTCCCAGATTTCACAACTGCCTCACGGAGGAGAGGGTTCAAAGCCCGTCCACTCCCTCCGTCCTCCGCAAACATCTGTGCTCCGGCGCCAGGAGACCCGCTAACAGCCCGCCGCATTATTTATTTATGCTTTTACTGATGGAAACACATGAACTGCTCACGTGCCGAGTATCCGTGAAATACTACCCTGAAGTTATGTCAAAATGTGCAATACAGAACCAGAATGTGCAATACCAAACCAGAATGTGCAATACAGAACCAGAATGTGCCATACAGGACCAGAATGTGCAATTCAGAACCAGAATGTGCGATACAGAACCAGAATGTGCAATACAGGACCAGAATGTGCAATGCAGGACCAGAATGTACAATACAGAACCAGAATGTGCAATGCAGAACCAGAATATGCAATACAGAATGTGCAATACAGAACCATGAGTGTGCAATACAGAACCAGAATGTGCAATTCAGAACCAGAATGTGCAATGCAGGACCAGAATGTACAATACAGAACCAGAATGTGCAATGCAGAACCAGAATATGCAATACAGAATGTGCAATACAGAACCATGAGTGTGCAATACAGAACCAGAATGTGCAATTCAGAACCAGAATGTGCGATACAGAACCAGAATGTACAATACAGAACCAGAATTTGCAATGCAGAACCAGAATATGCAATACAGAATGTGCAATACAGAACCATGAGTGTGCAATACAGAACCAGAATGTGCAATACAGAACCAGAATGTGCAATACAGAACCAGAATGTGCAATGCAGAACCAGAATATGCAATACAGAATGTGCAATACAGAACCATGAGTGTGCAATACAGAACCAGAATGTGCAATACAGAACCATGAATGTGCAATACAGAACCAGAATGTGCGATACAGAACCAGAATGTGCGATACAGAACCAGAATGTGTAATACAGAACCAGAATATGCAATACAGAACCAGAATGTACAATACAGAACCATGAGTGTGCAATACAGAACCAGAATGTGCAATACAGAACCATGAATGTGCAATACAGAACCATGAGTGTGCAATACAGAACCAGAATGTGCAATACAGAACCAGAATGTGCAATACAGAACCATGAATGTGCAATACGGAACCAGAATGTGCGATACAGAACCAGAATGTGCGATACAGAACCAGAATGTGCAATACAGAACCGGAATGTGCAATACAGAACCAGAATGTGCAATACAGAACCATGAATGTGCAATACAGAACCATGAGTGTGCAATACAGAACCAGAATGTGCAACACAGAACCATGAGTGTGCAATACAGAACCAGAATGTGCAATACAGAACCGGAATGTGCAATACAGAACCATGAGTGTGCAATACAGAACCATGAGTGTGCAATACAAGAGCAGAATGTGCAATACAGAACCATGAGTGTGCAATACAGAACCATGAATGTGCAATACAGAACCATGAGTGTGCAATACAGAACCATGAGTGTGCAATACAGGACCAGAATGTGCAATACAGAACCAGAATGTGCAATACAGGACCAGAATGTGCAATACAGAACCATGAATGTGCAAAACAGAACCATGAGTGTGCCATACGGAACCAGAATGCGCAATACAGAACCAGAATGTGCAATACAGAACCAGAATGTGCAATACAGAACCAGAATGTGCGATACAGAACCAGAATGTGCAATACAGAACCAGAATGTGCGATACAGAACCAGAATGTGCGATACAGAACCAGAATGTGCAATACAGAACCAGAATGTGCGATACAGGACCAGAATGTGCGATACAGAACCAGAATGTGCAATACAGAACCAGAATGTGTGATACAGGACCAGAATGTGCAATACAGAACCAGAATGTGCAATACAGAACCAGAATGTGCAACACAGAACCATGAGTGTGCAATACAGAACCAGAATGTGCAATACAGAACCAGAATGTGCAATACAGGACTCCTCGGCTTTGGAACGACCTGTCCGAGGAGATAAGGCTAGCACCATCAGTATCCTCTTTTAAATCTCTTCTTAAAACCCACTTTTATAAAACAGCTTTTAATTGTCAGCTTTAAACTTATAATGTTGTATTTTACTGTCTGTCCTGTCTGTTTTGTGGTCTTGTGTTTCCTCTGTTTGTCTTGTCTTCTTGCATTCATTCTTATTGTTTTAACTTTGTATTATGACTGATGTATTGTTTATTATGCTGTGCAGCACTTTGTAAACATTGTTTTTGAAAAGTGCTTTATAAATAAAGATTTATTATTATTTATAGAATGTGCAATACTCTAATATTAATCTTTATTAGCATTTAAAAATAAAAATAAATGAGGATTTCCACTTTTATCTGTTTGGGACCATCGTCTCTGCTCTGGTCTGGATCAGTGTGAAACCATGAACATTCTGCTATAGTAACATTTACAGGTAGAAACAAAGCTAGCACCAGTTCGACTTTAGCTTTATCTTAGACGTTAGCTTTAGCTTTGGCTCGGTGCTTGTTGTGTTTGGCCCGGGCTCTCATAAGCGCTCCAGCAGAGGGTTCCCAGCTCTGACAGATTCAGGTTAAAACAACACGCCTCTGCTGCGCTGGGACTCTATTATTAATGTGCTGTAATGAGGCTCAGAGGAAGAATTTTATGAGCTTTCTACAAAACACTTTTCACACGACGTAATGTTTGTCTTTATGAGCCGCTGACGTGTCCATCACTCACTGCTGAACCTGAAGGATTCAGTTACAGCCCATGGTCCACTAACATGGTCCGCTCACATGGTCTGTGACTACTCTACACTCCTCTACTCTACCTAACTCTGCTCTGCTCTGCTCTGCTCTGCTCTGCTCTACTCCCTCTGACCCATGACCATAGACTGTATATATAAACAGACAGAGTCACGCCTATCTCCGTCGTTCTAACTAATGGGCCAAAAATGTGCTCTACTGGAGTAATCCAAAATGGCCGCGAGTGGTCCTGCCCACAAGAAAATTGTGAAAAAACACATCTGTGCATGCGTCAGCCGGCGCAGCTCCATTCATTTGAACGAGTGACTTCTAGTCCACAGCGACTAAACTAGACTGGTCCAGAACACTCAGCATTGACACACATGTGGAACGGAGCTTTGGGCCAAGAGACAACTTTTGGTCCATCCTGTAAAGACGTTTTTGAGATGTTAGCATTGACAGACACCCCATCGGCCCGGGCCGAAACCCGCCCCCACTGCCCCTGACGTGTTTTCATTCCAAACCCTGCAGCAGCCGTTTGTGTCCTGCCCTTCAGAATCCCTGCATGTGATTGGACGGGAGGCAGGCTCTGAGAGCACCTAGCGGGTGATTGACAGGGGTGAAAAGTCGACCTCTCGGCTCCAGGTCCCGTCTCAATTACAAACGTAAACAGAACCAATCAGGACAGAGAAACTCACGACTTTGACTTTTAGTGAAGGAGCAAAAGCAACACTGATTCTGACTTTGAACCGAAAACCTGCAAATGTGGAGTGAGAAAACACGGTCCACATAAAGTTTCAATTTCATCTTCCCTCAGCTCCGGGTCTGTGTCCGCTTACAAACCCTCGCCAAAGGTCAGAGCCAGCCGCGAGCCGGAACAATGGTGTCGGCTGATAACACCAGGCCAGATCAGGGGGGGGGGGGGGGGAGGGGGGGGGGGGGGGGGGGGGGGGGGGGAGGAGGGTGTGTTCGCCCTCAGCCACCCCCAGCTCTGTACTCACACCCGGGGCGACAGCAACATCTGGCCTCTGTGCAAGACATAATCTGCACGAGGAGAGAGAGAGAGTGTGTGTCTGTGTATGTATGTGTCTCTGTGCGTGTGTGTCTGTGTCTGTGTCTGCGTGTGTGTGTCTGTGTGTGTGTATGTGTCTGTGTGTGTGTGCCTGTGTGCGCGTGTGTGTGTGTGTGTCTGCGTGTGTGTGTGTGTGTGTGTGTGTGTGTGTGCGTGTGTCTGTGCGTGTGTGTGTGTGTCTGTGTGTGTGTGAGCAGGAGGGAGGGGGTAAGCTTGTTATTAAAGGAAATCAGTGAAACCTGATTGTGTGTGAGTGGAAAGTTAAAGCTCTCTGTGTTTCTGCAGATGATGTGAGCAGCAGAGGCGTCGCCGGAGACTCCAGGGGCCCCGGGCAGGACACCCCAGGGGCCCCAGAACAGGTTTCCAACTAAACTAACTGTCAGGAATGAACCAGACAGAAGTTTTTATAGTCATCGTTACGTCACACATCGAAAGACGGTACGAGTCAAATCAGAGACAGAGCAAATTATAGTCATAACATGGATGTACCGTCAGAGTCTGCGTAGAGTCTTGCGTCTGTCATACACAGGAGCTATCCCTCATATAACTGATGTCTGAAAGATTGGAGAATTCCGAAACAAGATTGTGTTCTACAGTCTTCTGAATTTTCCACGGATTTTCTTGTGCATAAAAATTAATTTAAAATTCGAACACTTTATAATTTTAGGCACTTGATCACGGCCGCATAATGTGCAATAAGTGCAATATAGATCCTCATGAGATCACTGAGACTTTGACTCAGCCTCAGCCTCTGCCTCTGCCTCTGCCTCTGCCTCTGCCTCTGCCTCAGCCTCAGCCTCAGCCCCTCTCTCGTCTCTCTCTCCTTGTCTCTGTGGAACCGGAGCCAGAGTCCTGCAGCTGAGATGGGATTGTCCAGAGAAATGGGATTAAGTAAAGTTCAGGAGCGAGGAGAGAGGACTCTGTGATCCAGTCCCAAAACCATCTGGACTGGGTTCAGGTCTGGTGACTGTGGAGGTCATGTGGCCCAGCACCATCTCTCTCCTTATTGGTCAAACAGCCCTTACACAGCCTGGTGCGGGTCTACAGCAATAGTCATGAAAAGAACTCAGTGAAGGAGAGAGGGTGTCCACACTTTCACTCTGTATAACGTACATTAGACTCTCTCCTGAATTACTTATTGACTCATTGTTTTTGTAAATTAGCTTCTCGTTTTTCGACACAGATTACTTTCTTCCTCTGCTGTGTCGAGCCGCTCATATCCAGAAAAACAGACTATTTTGAGTGTCACGTCTCATTCTCTTGATGCACAAGAATGAGATGAACAAAAACAACCAGTGCTGTCATTTGTTCCTGTTCTAAATGTGCCTTGATTTGAAGTCTTTTATTGATACAATCGTCTCTGATATCGTCTCAGTGTCTGCTTTTGTTTTTGTCGTTTACAGAAAATAAAACTGTAGAAAGAAGAGTGAGGGTCACGGTGGGAGTAACTAAGGCCCAGTTTACACAGAGACGCTGCAGCAGTAAAACGCTGTAGTTGGTGTCGGTTGCTGCCCCCGTTCACACGGAGACTGTTCCAGGTGAAAACGTAAGAGTTCAGATCCAGCCTCAGAGTGGGACAGCTCAGATGCTCAGCAGGGGGCGCTCTTTCACACCCGCGTGAGGGAAAAGGTGTGACGTTTCCATTTTCGCAGTTGCCGTTAAATGCTGAATGATGTTGGTTCTTTCCCGTCTTGCAGAGGAAGTGAGTACACTGCTGGGGGAGGGCTGGGGCTCGTGTGTGTCGTGTTGTAAAGTTCCTCTGCCCCCTACTGGCCGGGCGCTAGAACTACATTGTTTTTGATCCTCGTCTGAACGCTGTGAAATGTGCATAAGGAGCCTGGTCGTTTCTGTTCACAGCAACGTCTGCGTAGCGCCTCCGATAAACTGGTCCTAAAGCTTCAGATTCTATATTGGTGCCACAGTTGGGACATTTCAGTGTTGCATCACAAGTGACAGAACAGTATAAAAGAGCACACGATGAATTAACTATAACTCTATACTAATTAAAATAAAATAAAATCTCTAACTCTAGCATCAATAGCAAGTATAAAATCTGTATAAAGTTTGAAAGCATCATGGGAGCTCGTCCACGGCACAGAACCAGGACGACAGAGAAATGCCCAAATATGGTCGAGTTCCGCTAATCTCTCAGTGGCCATGGTGCGGCGCCACTGAGCACAAGCCACTATTTGAATTGGCAGCCATCTTGGATCAGCGGGACACAGCAGGGCATTTATTTTAATTAGTATAGTTCTTAAAGAGCGACTAAACACCAAATCAACTTTTTCCAACTCATAAACTGCATAAATATGTTTATTGTAGTGCTGTCTACATATCCTGGTCATTTTTTTGACATTTTAGTTCAAATTAGATAAAATATCACTTTTGAGCCAAAAAACGCTGTGTGGCGCCCTCTCAACCTTTTTGGTGGTACTACATTTGAATTTGGTTCTGGCCTCTACATTGACTCTGAAGTTCTCTATGACATCAGTTGTTTTGTGTGACGTCAGTCTGTCAGAGCCAGTGATATAAACCCATTCAACTCTCACACACGCCCCAGCTACAGTTTGGAGTATTCTGGCGCCATCTAGTGGATTAAAATTAAATTACATGAGTAATTCTGAGATTATTGAGTGTGATTAGGTTCAGGTGTGTAGCTTTACAATTATCTTAGTGTGTAAACAAGGGTGGAATGAGACTTTCTGGTCTATAAACTAATGCTTTAAGCAGCAATGATAACTGTTTGTTTTTTTTAGTGAGACAAGTGAGCTAAACGTCTGATGAAGAATTACGGACATTGTGTTTTAACAATTTAATAACTTTTTAAAGCAAGCGTTTATATAACATTCAATTTAAACTTTACACTTAGTACAATAATCTTAGAATGTATAAAAACTGACCAGATAGTTAGTTACCCACATTTAACTTAAAATTATACAGCTATCTCTAATTAAAAACCACTAATATACATGTATTTTAACGTGTGTGGAGCAATTCATTTTGTTTCCCAAAGGGTCAGACAAAATTACCTTTCATTTTTATAAAGTTTAGGTCTGAAAATGACCATCTCTGACGAGTCGATGACGTCACCTGCTCTCAGTGCACTGTCCCCATTCTGCCGTTTGTGCTGCAACCTGCGCACTCCAACCATGTGTGCACTTCGAACAAATGCACACTTCGTAGAGGTGTGTAGGGGGCAGTGTGGGTATTGGGACTGGGCTTGAGTGGTTCTTCGCGCAACTTCACACTTGACGTGCCTTTATCAGCTGTGGTTTGCCAAGCCGATTGCGCCCCCTGCTGGCCAGTGGTGGTCGCTGGAGAATGTCTGCGCCCTGTTTCCGTATTTCTATTGTTTTTTTGATCCATCGTTTATATTTGTTGAGTTCTTGTTTTATGATTCTCGTCTTGTCCCAGTCCATAAGGTGGTTATTACGTTTGCAGTGGTCTGATACAGGGCAACAGGAGCTTGGTTGGTAGAGCGTTGGCCTTTGAACCAGGGTTCGAGCCCACCACCAGACTTTCTCCACAGACTCCCACTGATGTCTGCTGACGCTGTGTCCTTGGGCAAGACACTGAACCTCTGGGAACACCACCAAAGTGCCAAACTGCCGTTGTGTCCTTAGGCAAGACACTTCACTCCCATTGTCTAGAATGAGTCTGGTGTGAATGGTTGGTAGTGGTGGGAGGGGCCAATGGCACAGACTGGTTGCCTCGCTTCTATCAGTGTGCCCCAGGGCAGCTTTGAGTGTCCAAAAAATATATAAAACAAATGCTTGCTTTTTGTTGGTTTTTGTTGATATTGGCGATTGTAGCTTCTCCTCTTGCGCCCCCTGTCTTCCTGTCCTGGTCAGTCGTATTGCCGTCTCTTTCTCACTTTCTTTTTGGTGTTAAATGTCTGTTTCCCATATATGTCTGCATGATGTGCGTGGCATTTCGTAGATGACGTTGTCTTTCTGGTTCTAATGTGTCCTTGGGGTGCACTAATAACTGTCTAAATTGCGGTGTGGTTTTATGGCTGTATTTACATTGTGCTTCTTCATGGCCTTTTGAATGTGTTCTGTGACTCCTCAGATGTATGGTGTTGTTATGGTCCCTCTATTGGTTCCTGGTCTGTGCTTTTTTTGTTTGTGTGTTATTGTGGCAGAGGGCGCAGGTCATAGACTGTAAATATTAACGGACGTAGTCACACCTATCTCCGCCGTTCTAACTAATGGGCCAAAAATTGGGCTCTCATGGAGTGATTCAAAATGGCCGCAAGGGCTGAAAAATGTGAACAAACACATCTGCGCATGCGTCAGCCGCACGAGCTCCATTCATTTAAACGAGAGACTTCTAAAGTCCACAGCGATTAAACTAGACTGGTCCAGAACACTCAGCATTGACTCACATGTGGAACGGAGCTTTGGGCCAAGAGACAACTTTTGGACCATCCTGTAAAGACGTTTTCCAGAGGTAAGAAGATGCTATATGTTAGCATTGGCTAATTCTTATTACAGGTCCACCCCCACAGGCCCGGGGTGGTACTGCAGCACGTCAGCGCACGTCATTTTGGACACTTTTGAGCCGGGACCCGCCCCCACTGGCGCAGTCACAGAGGTTGACTGCGTCTGGGAACAGCAGCTGATAAAGACACGTCGTGGGACGCTTCTGAGGAAGACAGAAGTTACCTGTTGAAACATGTCTGTTGTGGGTGAGTTTCGAACCCCAAAGCAGAGGGAGGTCAAAGCAGTTTAACAAGAGTCTTTAATTAACCAAAAATACTCAAAGCGAAGGAGCAGTGGAGACAGGGAGCAGGCCGGCTGGAGAGCAGAGCGGAGACACGAGGGCTGGACGAGCACAGGATCTGGAAATGCAACATGAAGGTGAGTAATCCAAAAACCCAGGTACGTAGAGAACACACCGCGTGGCACTACCGACATGACGGAATTATCTGGCAGAGGAGTGATGAGCGGACCAGGGTTATACTGAGTAGAGTGGAGTGAGTGGATGCAGGTGTGTCTCGTCAGCAGCCCAGCAGAGACCGGCCACGCCCCCAGCAGAGACCGGCCACGCCCCCAGCAGAGACCGGCCACGCCCCCAGCAGCGACCGGCACCGCCCCCAGCAGAGACCGGCCACGCCCCCAGCAGAGACCGGCCACGCCCCCAGCAGAGACCGGCCACGCCCCCAGCAGCGACCGGCACCGCCCCCAGCAGAGACCGGCCACGCCCCCAGCAGAGACCGGCCACGCCTCCTGCAGAGACCGGCCACGCCCCCAGCAGAGACCGGCCACGCCCCCTGCCTCACACATGCTCTGGAGAGAGGGAGCAAAACAGTCATGACAATGTCAAGGTCAAATCATCACAAAACCTAATTCTTTAGACAAGATGAATCTTCCTAAACTCGTAGAGTTATTGTTATGGTCAGCACAGCACAAGGTGTGGTGAAGGTGTACTGTGGACCGGGCTGAGCAGGACCAGGAGGAGCAGGAGGAGGGAGAGGTACTGTGGACCGGGCTGAGCAGGACCAGGAGGAGCAGGAGGAGGGAGAGGTTTACTGTGGACCGGGCTGAGCAGGACCAGGAGGAGCGAGGAGGAGGGAGAGGTTTACTGTGGACCAGGCTGAGCAGGACCAGGAGGAGCAGGAGGAGGGAGAGGTTTACTGTGGACCGGGCTGAGCAGGACCAGGAGGAGCAGGAGGAGGAGAGGTTTACTGTGGACCGGGCTGAGCAGGACCAGGAGGAGCAGGAGGAGGAGAGGTTTACTGTGGACCGGGCTGAGCAGGACCAGGAGGAGCAGGAGGAGGGAGAGGTTTACTGTGGACCAGGCTGAGCAGGACCAGGAGGAGCAGGAGGAGGAGAGGTTTACTGTGGACCAGGCTGAGCAGGACCAGGAGGAGCAGGAGGAGGAGAGGTTTACTGTGGACCGGGCTGAGCAGGACCAGGAGGAGCAGGAGGATGGAGAGGTTTACTGTGGACCGCGCTGAGCAGGACCAGGAGGAGCAGGAGGAGGAGAGGTTTACTGTGGACCGGGCTGAGCAGGACCAGGAGGAGCAGGAGGAGGGAGAGGTTTACGGTGGACTGGGCTGAGCAGGACCAGGAGGAGCAGGAGGAGGGAGGGGTTTACTGTGGACCGAGCTGAGCAGGACCAGGAGGAGCAGGAGGAGGAGAGGTTTACTGTGGACCGGGCTGAGCAGGACCAGGAGGAGCAGGAGGAGGGAGGGGTTTACTGTGGACCAGGCTGAGCAGGACCAGGAGGAGCAGGAGGAGGGAGGGGTTACTGTGGACCGGGCTGAGCAGGACCAGGAGGAGCAGGAGGAGGAGAGGTTTACTGTGGACCGGGCTGAGCAGGACCAGGAGGAGCAGGAGGAGGAGAGGTTTACTGTGGACCGGGCTGAGCAGGACCAGGAGGAGCAGGAGGAGGGAGAGGTTTACTGTGGACCAGGCTGAGCAGGACCAGGAGGAGCAGGAGGAGGGAGAGGTTTACTGTGGACCGGGCTGAGCAGGACCAGGAGGAGCAGGAGGAGGGAGAGGTTTACTGTGGACCGGGCTGAGCAGGACCAGGAGGAGCAGGAGGAGGAGAGGTTTACTGTGGACCGGGCTGAGCAGGACCAGGAGGAGCAGGAGGAGGAGAGGTTTACTGTGGACCGGGCTGAGCAGGACCAGGAGGAGCAGGAGGAGGGAGAGGTTTACTGTGGACCGGGCTGAGCAGGACCAGGAGGAGCAGGAGGATGGAGAGGTTTACTGTGGACCGCGCTGAGCAGGACCAGGAGGAGCAGGAGGAGGAGAGGTTTACTGTGGACCGGGCTGAGCAGGACCAGGAGGAGCAGGAGGAGGGAGGGGTTTACTGTGGACCAGGCTGAGCAGGACCAGGAGGAGCAGGAGGAGGGAGGGGTACTGTGGACCGGGCTGAGCAGGACCAGCAGGAGCAGGAGGAGGAGAGGTTTACTGTCTGATTAGCCACATCATCTGCTTTATGTGGATTAATGAACTATAAATATCTGAGAATAAGCTCCGTAGAAATAATGACATTAGGATCATTCCGATTAGAGAGTTTCCCACACGGCTTTACGGAAACTTTCTGAACACACTGCAAAAAATGTGAGAAACATGAGGAAATAAAAACTTGAATCCAGTGTTTTTTAACTTAATCTGACACGTTCTGACTGCGGTGAAACCAGATTCTCCGACGGGAGCTGGACATTTTGTTTAATTTAAGGACTGTTGCTTTAAGAACTTTACAAGAATCTGAATCTGTTTTTAGGCAGAATGTTGGAGATTTATAACCTATGGGTGTGGTTAGCCACACCCTAATCCTGATACTAATCCTAATACATTAGCCTGTCAAGGAGTTAGGGTCGTTAGACCTGCTCCCTTCTACATCAGACCTTAGATTGTTTATGAGTTAGTACAGTATAGTAGATGTTATAAATCTCCAACGCGCGGTCTGAAAATTCATTCCCTGAAGAAGTCCTTTGGTTTGAGGACGAAACGTCGGGAAAACTTGCTAAGAAGTACAGATGATGGGTGAGAAACTTTACTTTGCTTTAAACTAAACTAAATATTGTCCTTGTTTAAGTAACTTTCAAATCAGACACAAATGTTTATCTTTCACTGCGAGCTGATTGGCTGAGAGAGGGTGGTTTTTGTGTATGTGTCTGTGTGTGTGTGTGTGTGTGTGTGTCTGTGTGTGTGTCTGTGTCTGTGTGTGTGTCTGTGTGTCTGTGTGTGTGTGTTTGTAGTGAAAAGTTAAAGTATATTTAAATTGGGTGAAGACAGAACTCGAGACTTTTTTAATTAAGTCTGACACGAAATTAATGAAGGAACATCACATTTTAATGGACAAATAAAACAAAGTTAATGACATTAACTTTGACAGAGAACTGGTGGTTGCTAAGCAACAAACTCACATCTTTGTCCCTGAGCATTTATCACCAAACTGTTTTATTCTCTGTTGTCATGTTGTCAGTTTTTTATGTTTAACACTGAAATACAAAACTAAAGACCAGTCCTGGACCGGTCTGTAGGACCAGTCTACAAGACCGGTCTACAGGACCGAAGGACCGGTCTACAGGACCGGTCTACAGGACCGCAGGACCGAAGAACTGGTCTACAGGACCGGTCTACAGGACCGGTCTACAGGACCGGTCTACAGGACCGAAGGACCGGTCTACAGGACCGAAGGACCGGTCTACAGGTCTACAGGACCGCAGGACCGGTCTCCGGTCTACAGGACCTACTTGACTCGACTCTTTCCGGTTTGTGGGCGTTTCCACCGACTCGCTTTAGCCGCTACCCAATACTTTTTTAGTAACGGCTCAGCCCTGGTTCTAGCCGGGCCAATATCAAAACAATCTGACGTCGATGAACATAAATTCTGATTGGCCAGAGCCGCTGTCAATCAATCTTCAGATGCTGCAAAAACTATTTCAGTTTCCTGCTGAAAACTATAAAAACGTCAGAACAAAAAACAATTTGTTCGGACGTTGGACCAGTCCAGAACCAGTCCAGAACCAGTCCAGAACCAGTCCAGGATCAGTCTGGGTTGAGATAATTTCATAAACATGTTTTTGTGGTAATAAACTACAGAGAAATGATAAATAAACACCAAAATAAAAAGCCGTCAAATTGACTGCTCTGGGAGTTCTAGTGTCAAGAGACAGGGAGAAGTGCTCAGGATAGACTGCTGCTCCTCCATTCAGTCCAGAGCTGTGACGTGGACACAGATGGAAACAGAGACAGTTTTTACAATGATCTGGAACCATTCAATTTATTTATTATTTTATTGCTCTAAATCACAACAGGAGTTTCATTGGTCCATGAGGAGCAGGAGACCAGTGTCATAAACTTTGGTGTCGTTAAATCATAGGTTACATTGTCGCCTTCTGTAGAATACTAGCACTTTCTCTTCACACACACACACACACACAGAGACACACACACACTCCCCTCGTAACACAAACAAACACACACACATTTCCCAAAGGATTCTGATTCTCACATACACACAGAGACACAAACACACACTTTCCCCTCCTCACATACACATACACTCACACACACACAGAGAGACACACACACACATACACAGAGACACACACACACACACACACAGAGACACACACAGAGACACACACACCGACACACAAACAGACACACACACACACACACCGACACACACACACACACTTCCCAGTAAACATGGATCTGACGCCTTGTTTTTCCAGCTGTGCTCCGTGGGTTGTTCCAGATTCGTGTGATTCTGGTGAAGTCATAAATATCAGACGGTGATGTCGCATGTGGAGCTCAAACAAAGACATTCTTTACAGGAGGCGCGGCGTGTGGACCTGGTGAGCGGTTAAGAGAATGCGCTGGTCCTACTGCGCTGGTCCTACTGCGCTGGTCCTACTGCACTGGTCCTAATGCGCTGGACCTACTGCACTGGTCCTAATGCGCTGGACCTACTGCACTGGACCTACTGCACTGGACCTACTGCGCTGGTCCTACTGCGCTGGTCCTACTGCACTGGTCCTAATGCGCTGGACCTACTGCACTGGTCCTAATGCGCTGGACCTACTGCACTGGACCTACTGCACTGGACCTACTGCACTGGTCCTACTGCACTGGACCTACTGCACTGGTCCTAATGCGCTGGTCCTACTGCACTGGACCTACTGCACTGGTCCTAATGCGCTGGACCTACTGCACTGGACCTACTGCACTGGTCCTAATGCGCTGGTCCTACTGCGCTGGTCCTACTGTGCTGGACCTACTGCACTGGTCCTAATGCGCTGGACCTACTGCATTGGACCTACTGCGCTGGTCCTAATGCGCTGGTCCTACTGCGCTGGTCCTATTGCACTGGACCTACTGCACTGGTCCTACTGCACTGGACCTACTGCACTGGACCTACTGCACTGGTCCTAATGCGCTGGTCCTACTGCGCTGGACCTACTGCACTGGTCCTAATGCGCTGGACCTACTGCACTGGACCTACTGCACTGGTCCTAATGCGCTGGTCCTACTGCGCTGGTGCTACTGCACTGGTCCTACTGCACTGGTCCTAATGCGCTGGTCCTACTGCGCTGGTCCTACTGCGCTGGACCTACTGCACTGGTCCTAATGCGCTGGTCCTACTGCACTGGACCTACTGCGCTGGTCCTACTGCACTGGACCTACTGCACTGGTCCTACTGCACTGGACCTACTGCACTGGACCTACTGCACTGGTCCTACTGCACTGGACCTACTGCACTGGACCTACTGCACTGGTCCTAATGCGCTGGTCCTACTGCGCTGGACCTACTGCACTGGTCCTACTGCGCTGGACCTACTGCACTGGTCCTAATGCGCTGGTCCTACTGCACTGGTCCTACTGCACTGGACCTACTGCACTGGACCTACTGCACTGGTCCTAATGCGCTGGTCCTACTGCGCTGGACCTACTGCACTGGTCCTAATGCGCTGGACCTACTGCACTGGACCTACTGCACTGGTCCTAATGCGCTGGTCCTACTGCGCTGGTCCTACTGCACTGGTCCTACTGCACTGGTCCTAATGCGCTGGTCCTACTGCGCTGGTCCTACTGCGCTGGACCTACTGCACTGGACCTACTGCACTGGTCCTAATGCGCTGGTCCTACTGCGCTGGTCCTACTGCGCTGGACCTACTGCACTGGACCTACTGCACTGGTCCTAATGCGTCTGTTTACCTACAGAGGCCCACACAGGACACACTGTGGCTCTATGGTCTCTATGGAAAACATCAGGCAGACTGAGAGATTAGGGATGAAATTGTGGATAATGTGGGTCAAAAAAAGATTTGACTGACGTGTTCAAAATTTGGTACAGAAATCAGACAAAGATTCTCCAAGTTTAACATCTGTATTTAATTTATCTTGACAATCAGATACAGAACATTCAAACAAAAGAGAGCTCCTAAAACTATGCTATGCTGTCCCTCTCTGGCCCTGCGCTCACTGACTCCAAGCCTCCAGCCCAAGCATAAAAAGAGCAGATGTCCAGGAAGAAGGGGGCGTGTCGTATCAGGCAGCTTCCGGTCCAGGGTCCGGCCTTTTCCTTCGTCTCGCCAAACCTAAAACAGAAATCATTCACACACACACTACCCCTCCCTAATTCTATAGAAATATTACTTCCTTGAGATAAGACAGGAGGCTTTTCAAGGTCCACCTCCTTCTTCAAACAACGAAAGGATTAGCAGAATCCCCCCAGATTAACTATCATTAACTCATATTTCTGCACTTTTGGTCTACCAAGGAACAAGGGGAGACCAGGTCTTTTTGCTTGCTTGCCATGCGGCACGGTGGCTGAGTGGATAGCACTCTCGCCTCTCAGCAAGAAGGTCCTGGGTTCGAATCCCAGTCGGACCAGGGCCTTTCTGAGTGGAGTTTGCATGTTCTCCCCGTGTCTGCGTAGGTTTCCTCCGGGTACTCCGGTTTCCCCTACCACTAAAAACATGTCCAATAGTTCTAGCATGCGCCTCCTGTACTGGCCCCGCTCCCATCTCTGTGTGGAGTGAGAGACAAATGCCCAAAATTAACAATTGTAAACCGCTTTGAGACTCAGATCTGCAGTGAAAAGGCGGTATATAAATAAAGACTACTACTACTACTGCTTGGGAAAGAGACAGAGTTCAATTCCGGGTCAATCAAATTCACATCTGCTTTTAGTCTATATTTAATACAACAATAATGACCTTTGCAAAAAGTTTCAACAGTTTGTTTGGGCACTGTCGGGTTTCTGGAATGTGCTAAAAATAACTCTGAAAAACATTGTGTTCGACTGAGTTCTACTGTGTTCTCCACATGCGCCTCTTTTAGGTTAAAGTAGTACTAGAATTTAACATGCTGCTATCCAGAATATATAACTACAATATGTGTTTATAATATTTCGGGTGTTCATTTTGACATATTCAGATGAATTATGTTAAAAAAACGGCTTTGAAGTGGCACCTTTTCACTTCCGCATAGAAACGCTAGGGGGCGCCAAAATGGCGGCGATGACGTAGGAGAAGGACCTCTCACAGCAGCAGCAGCAGTCTGGGCTGAATCTGTAGGAGGTTTCACTGTCATCTGAACAAGGTATAAACATATTTTCATCAGTTTTGTACATAATAGTGTGCAACTCTTTTAACTTTTTAGCCTTATTTTTGAGATTCAAGCTAATTAGTGTTGGGCAAGTTAGCTACTGTAACTCTACTTGATATCATAAACATGCTAACAAGGCTAATATTCGTTTTTACATTATGCCAGTCTCACTTTGGTTGCCTTAAATTTATTTACCACAATGTACATTGTAATATCCATGTATAACCCAATTTATTTTCTAATGAGTTCATAAAAATGCTTATTACTACAGACGAGTTGTATTATAATCTGTAATTGAATGTAAAACTTGAGCTCATTGATTCAGATGTGGATGAACTCAGTAAAAAGTGCTGAGTAGAGACTTAGCGTGACGCCCGCTCTCCTCCAATCACAGAACAGGCTGCGTCCTCTAGCCTCTACAGCGCTGCTAAACACAGTAGCATGTTAGCATAAGTGGCTATAACTCCTCTGGCTGTAACTGCAGACACAGCAAAACAGCCCAAACCACACAACAGTGAGGAAGAGAAGAGGAACTAAAGCCACAACATGATCAAAGAAGAAACCAAGCCCTGAACAGAGCTAGCTTACATCGTATCCTCTGGAGAGACTGGTCTGAGGGAGAGACCTGCGGGACCGCCTCGGACTATCTACGCTCGGACTATCTACGCTGGACTATCTACGCTCGGACTATCTACGCTCGGACTATCTACGCTCGGACTATCTACGCTCAGACTATCTACGCTCGGACTATCTACGCTCGGACTATCTACGCTCGGACTATCTACGCTCAGACTATCTACGCTCGGACTATCTACGCTCGGACTATCTACGCTCGGACTATCTACGCTCGGACTATCTACGCTCAGACTATCTACGCTCAGACTATCTACGCTCGGACTATCTACGCTCAGACAATCTACGCTCAGACTATCTACGCTCGGACTATCTACGCTCAGACTATCTACGCTCTGACTATCTACGCTCAGACAATCTACGCTCAGACTATCTACGCTCGGACTATCTACGCTCGGACTATCTACGCTCGGACTATCTACGCTCGGACTATCTACGCTCAGACTATCTACGCTCGGACTATCTACGCTCGGTCTATCTACGCTCGGACTATCTACGCTCGGACTATCTACGCTCGGACTATCTACGCTCGGTATCATGTTATCTCATGATCCCATGATACCAATTTATCATGAAATTTCATGATAGTTGTGTTTCATGAAATAACATGATATTTATCATGTTATTTCATGAAAGTATCATGAAATAACATGATACCAGCAGCAAAAAAACACACTCACAAGTGAACCTAACAAGCTTCTGTAGAGGAGAGCGTGGTGAAATGAGAAGCCTGTGAGCGAGTTGGGGGCGGGGCTAAACACTCAAACTGAAAAAAGCTGCAGAAACGGGTATAGCTCCTTTAATTGTGCCACTAACTCTGTACAGATTCAGGCCGGTTCTGTAAAAAGTCAGTCTCAAGAAGATGCTGAAGTCAAGATCGTCCATTTTCTTCCCTTTAATCCATTTCTGGGTCGGGGGGGCAGTCAGAGCTCCATCCAGTGCACACAGCCCCAGCCAAGTCCAGACTGACAGCATTTAAACAGAACAGCTGTTGTCACTAATGATAGAACCAAAAGACTACAGAATGATCCAGAGTTATTGACCAAACTGAAAATTCTTCCCTCTTCATGTTTTAATGTTGAGTTTGTCGAAAAAATTAGATTTGCAAGTTCTTCACAGGATTAAGTTGGAGTCAGTTTTTGGCCTTGTGGACGTTTCTTGGTCCCGCACTTGAAGGGTTAGGGTCGGTGGAATAGGGCTGTGAAAAAGGCTGAACTCCACCTTCTGAAACGAGAGGCCCAAACAGGAGAGTCTAATGGACAAGTTGTTTCTGACACTTACGGCTGGGATTAGGGCGTCTCCAACAGGATCTGGCCTTTACATTCAGCGTCAGTACCATGTGTGTCGTTTACAACTGCTTTTATCCAATTCCTTCATCACGAATTTGACAGTTTTTGAGACCAAATGTTTGCAACTAGCGATAAAACCATGGAAAATATAAGTGTTTTAAAAGGTCCAAGAACTTAAGTTATAATTGATGCTACTGAATGTATTTGTTCAAAGCCCTGCCAAAGCTAACATGTGCTCATCATGTGAGGCTAGAACAACATGTAAGGTCTGAGTTGGCACTGCACCTCAGGATCATGAAGCTGTGTCTCTGAGAGTTGGTAATTCAATCTGGTTTCTTTGATCAAATAAATCCGGGCGACCTTGTGACAGCAGACAGTGGGTTTACTATTAAAGATTTATACAAGAAAAAGGTTCTGATTTAAACATTCCCCCTTTTTAGCCTGAGACTGTTCACTGCTGAGGAGGAACTGGAGACTGAAAGAATTACTAACGCTCAAACTCATGTTGAAAGGTTCTTTGAGCGACTGAAGAAAAACAGGATATAAAAAAAACCATCCCACTTTCAAATATGTTTTATCTCAGATGGTGTTTGCGTGGCCTGGTCCATTGTCAGTAACTACCTGAGTAACTACCTCAGTAACTACCTTAGTAACTACCTGAGTAACTACCTCAGTAACTACCTCAGAAACTATAACTACCTCAGTAACTACCTCAGGAACTACCTCAGTAACTATAACTACCTCAGTAACTACCTCAGAAACTATAACTACCTCAGTAACTACCTCAGAAACTACCTGAGTAACTACCTCAGTAACTATAACTACCTCAGTAACTATAACTACCTCAGTAACTATAACTACCTCAGTAACTACCTCAGTAACTATAACTACCTCAGTAACTATAACTACCTCAGTAACTATAACTACCTCAGTAACTATAACTACCTCAGTAACTATAACTACCTCAGTAACTATAACTACCTCAGTAACTACCTCAGTAACTATAACTACCTCAGTAACTATAACTACCTCAGTAACTATAACTACCTCAGTAACTATAACTACCTCAGTAACTACCTCAGTAACTATAACTACCTCAGTAACTACCTGAGTAACTATAACTACCTCAGTAACTACCTGAGTAACTATAACTACCTCAGTAACTACCTGAGTAACTATAACTACCTCAGTAACTACCTCAGTAACTATAACTACCTCAGTAACTACCTCAGAAAGTACCTCAGTAACTATAACTACCTCAGTAACTATAACTACCTCAGTAACTATAACTACCTCAGTAACTATCTGCTAACACTTTCAGACATATTAGGAAAACAATGAATAATATATAATTATTATATTATTAACGAGCTCTCAGCAGCCCGCCTGCTTAAGCCTCTTGTACTTCCTTGAAATGTGATGAAGATTTATTATTTATTATGATCTGTTTTTAATTTGATTATCATTATTATTATTAGTAGTAGTATTACTTAATAATAACATAAGTTTAACCGGGTGCTACGTAGTACGAGAGAAAGGTATTTTTCTGAAATGATTGAAGGCTGCAGCAACAATCTGTGTGTTCTGTTCTCAACAGTTAATAGATTAAAGCTGCATTACCTCACTTTATTTTTGTATTCGTAAGATACATCCAATTCATATCCATGCAGTGCATCGGGACATTTTGAAGAATAAGTAGTACAGGTTTGTGCTGACGTGTCATTTTATTTTGGATCGAGTTTTGGTGAAACAAGGAAGAGAATGTGTTTGGGGTCCAGATTGTGGCCAATCACAGCGGACCACTGGCCCCCACTTTCTTGAGAAAAGCCACAGGTCTGTGGTTAGCACGGACAGGGCTGTGGTTAGCACGGACAGGTCTATGGTTAGCACGGACAGGTCTGTGGTTAGCACGGACAGGTCTGTGGTTAGCACGGACAGGGCTGTGGTTAGCACAGACAGGGCTGTGGTTAGCACAGACAGGTCTGTGGTTAGCACGGACAGGGCTGTGGTTAGCACAGACAGGTCTGTGGTTAGCACGGACAGGGCTGTGGTTAGCACAGACAGGTCTGTGGTTAGCACAGACAGGGCTGTGGTTAGCACAGACAGGGCTGTGGTTAGCACAGACAGGTCTGTGGTTAGCACAGACAGCTGAGGTAAACAAGCGGCGGAGGCTAACCTGAAACTTCTGTGTTTTTGTTACCGGTTACTGCTTACTCAGAGAAACAGACCAAAGAAAGTCTCGGTCCTTCGTACTTCCTGGTTCTATCATTCTATGGTCACGCCACGTTCACATGTGCGATCCATGTGAGACGTGAGCTCCGTAAACAACAGCACATGAGCACAGGCTGAGTGTGCTCATCTGAGAAAGAGCTGGTGCAGGGACCCCCCTGTTCAGATGCCATTAGAGCTTACTTCCAAACGTAAATGCAATGAGTTTGCTAATTTTTTCAATGACAAGGTTCAAGGCATCAAAAACGCCATTGTCTCCAATCCACAGATAACCATCCAACAGCCAGAAAGGGTCTTTGAGCTAACTCACTTTGCACCTGTAAATGATAAAAATGTCCAAGAGATAATCTCCAGTTTGAGCTCTTCCACATGCAGCCTGGATGTACTACCCACTAGATTTCTGAAGTCTGTTCTGAGCAGTCTGTTACCTTCACTCACACAGATAGTAAACATGTCCCTTCATTCTGGAATATTCTCAAAGGCCCTGAAAACTGCAGTCATCAGGCCCCTGCTAAAAAAGAGCAGTCTCGATGCTACGGTACTTAACAACTATCGTCCCATCTCAAATCTGCCATTTATGCACCGAGACTGCTCTCGTTAAGGTTACAAATGATATCCGGCTGAACACTGACGCAGGCAAAGTCTCAATCTTAATCTTGTTAGATCTAAGTGCTGCCTTTGATACTGTCGACCATGAGATCCTCTTACAGAGACTAGAGGACTGGGTTGGCGTCGCTGGCACCGCCCTAAGTTGGTTTAGGTCTTACCTTGAAGACAGGAAGTACTTTGTGGAGATTGGAAACTGTGTCTCAGATCATATGGCCCTGACCTGTGGAGTACCACAGGGGTCGATCCTGGGACCTCTTCTGTTCAATCTCTACATGCTGCCGTTAGGTCAGTTAATACGCAGAAACAAAGTTTCCTATCATAACTATGCAGACGACACTCAGATCTATGTCTCACTGACTGCAGGAGAACATGGACCAGTGGACTCACTCCTTCACTGTATCCAACAGATCAGTGAGTGGATGCAAAACAACTTCCTTCAGCTAAACGCAGACAAAACTGAAATGATTGTCTTTGGTCCCCAGAAACAAAGAGAGAGCGTCATCTGTCACCTACAGTCTCTCTCCCTAAAACCTTCAAACAAGGTCAGAAATCTAGGGGTAATACTGGACTCAGACTTAAATTTTAATAGCCACATCAAATCAGTAACATCAGCAGCTTTTTACCATCTAAAAAACATTGCCAGGATCAAAAACATAGTGTCTAAAGCAGACTTGGAGATTCTTATCCATGCATTTGTCTCCAGTAGGTTAGACTACTGCAATGGCCTGCTCACAGGTCTGTCCAAACAGGCTGTAAAACAGCTGCAGTACATTCAAAATGCAGCAGCTCCAGTCCTGACTAGAACCAGGAAGTACGACCACATTAGTCCTGACTAGAACCAGGAAGTACGACCATATTAGTCCTGACTAGAACCAGGAAGTACAACCACATTAGTCCTGACTAGAACCAGGAAGTACAACCACATTAGTCCTGACTAGAACCAGGAAGTACAACCACATTAGTCCTGACTAGAACCAGGAAGTACAACCACATTAGTCCTGACTAGAACCAGGAAGTACAACCACATTAGTCCTGACTAGAACCAGGAAGTACGACCACATTAGTCCTGACTAGAACCAGGAAGTACAACCACTCTAAAATTAGCATTCAAATGCATCAATAACCTGGCACCAGAGCCACTAAGTTCATTTATACAGAGACAGACCAGCAACAGAGTCACCAGAAGTACATCCCACAACAACTGTGCAATCCCACACAGGAGAACCTCATTTGGTCAGTCTGCTTTCTCCATAAAAACATACAAACTGTGGAACTCGCTGCCCACTGACCTAAAAAACATATTAGAATTCAAGGAGTTCACCTCAAAGCTCAAGCTGTGGCTGAAAACAAACCAATCATGCACCCATTTCTAAACCTGTAAACAGTATTTTGTGTTTGTGTGTGTGTGAGTGTGTGTGTACGTGCACTTGTTTTCAACTCCTGGTGGGGTCCATAACCTGAGATTCCACTCACGTCATGGGGACTGGTTTTACGTGGTGGGGCCCGAACACCGGACCCCACTGGTCCAAGCTTAATAATCAATGGGTAATGCTTTTCTAACGGTCCTTATGCAGTCTCTGTAAAAATATGGAAAGGACCCCTGGAGGTTTACTTTCCTGAAAAAAGTGTGTTATGTGTCAGAACCCTGGTGGTGGGTTGCGGGATATCAAGGAGGGGCACACTGGGGCAATTTCAGTCCAGCAGGCTGGAGCCAATCATGGAGCAGCACAACAGAGGCTGGAGCCAATCATGGAGCAGCACAACAGAGGAAATCAGGTGTCAGGCTAGAAAAAGGTGCAAGTGTGTGGTTCATTAGGCTGCAAGAAATCATGGAGGAGCACACTGAAGCGCACGCTTACAAACCACTGGTAAGTGCTGACTACAAGTCATGACTTCAAATTGTTATATAGAATGATTACAAATTATTTGTTGTTTGTGCAGCTTAGTCAAGAGTCCCTAATTGATGAAGTCGACTCAGATTCTGACGATTTAACTGTCAAGAAGAAACCTGTAAAAAAGTATGGAAAAAGAAAAATCAAAAACACTTTTCTTCAAGACTCGGAAAGTGACGAACCAAAGGCAAATAAGATTGTTATCATGCAGCTGCAAAAGAAGAAAAATGGGGGGCGAGTTTACAGCAAGAGACACTTCTGCCTCTACTGTTCAATGTCCTGCCACAAAATGTCCCGTCATTTGACTAGAAAACATGGAAATGAAAGTGACGTAGCCAGAGCATTGGCTCTACCTGTGAAATCTAAAGCACGTAAACTTCAGTTTGATTTGATCAGGAATAGTGGAAACCGTGAGCACAATGTTGAGGTTTTAAAGGCCGGCATTGGAACTTTAGTCCCAGCTAAACAGCCAAATTGCCCAGTTAAATCCAGTGAGTTTTTGCACTGTATAGACTGTGGGGCATTGCTTAAGCGAAAGTCGCTGTGGAGGCATGTGGCCAGGTGCCGGCTTTCACAGAAAGATGCCCAGGCTAAACCAGGTAGAAGTAGGGTCCAGTCCCTCTGCTCCCTAGCCCAGCCTGTACCGGAGGGCATCAGCAAAAAGCTGTGGTCTTTAATTTCGGCAATGCATCAGGATGAGGTCACGGGTGTTGTCAAAGCAGAAAAGGGGATTCTGAGACTCGGAGAGCACCTGTACTTAAAACACGGGCATGATAAGACTAAGCATGAATACATTAGGCAGAAAATGAGAGAAGTCGGTAGGTTAATTAACGAAGCAAAAACCGCAGGGAAACTGAAAACAATTAAGGATTTCTTTATTCCTTCCAACTTTAACCATGTGATTGATGCAGTCAGGTCTGTGGCTGGATATGATGAGGAAACAAATCAATACAAGACTCCATCCTTGGCCCTCAAACTCGGCCATAGCCTCAGAAAGCTAGCAGATATTCTTGAATGTGACTCAAAAATGGAGCATTGTGTTGATGAACTATTTATTAAAAACCTCCAACGAAGCCGGCTGCTTTTTGAGAAGAGGTGGGACGTCTGTGTTTCTTCTGCTGCCCTACAGACCCTCCGGCAAGCCAAGTGGAACACTCCGGACCTGCTCCCTCTGACTGAGGACGTTAGAGCCATGCATGCACATATTGAGGTATGTCGACCTGAATATGTGCAAACCCTAATAAGTGAGCCAACGTCTAAGCATTGGTCTAAACTGGCAGTTTTGACTCTTTGTGAGGTCATCATTTTCAATCGAAGAAGGGAAGGTGAGGTTTCAAAGATGCCACTGACAGCCTTTACCTTAAGAAGTAAGACTGGGATCCATTCTGACATTGCTCTGGGACTGTCCCAACTTGAGAAAAAGCTGTGTCAGCATTTTCAACGCATTGAAATTAAAGGGAAAAGAAGTCGGAAAGTGCCGGTTCTTTTGACTCCTGAAATGATTGCTTCGATGGAGGTGCTGGTGGAGAACAGAAGGGCCTGTTCCATCTCTGACCATAACCCATACTTCTTTTCCCGCCCGGGCGCAGACACCCACATCAGGGGATCAGACTCCCTACGCCAGGTAGCCAAAGAATGTGGTGCGGTGCATCCAGAGATGCTATCCTCAACCAAACTTAGAAAGCACATAGCTACTATGTCTACAGTTCTCAATATGAAAGAGAATGAGATGGACGTACTTGCCAACTTCCTCGGCCATGACATTCGCATCCACAGGCAATATTACAGACTACCAGAGGGGACACTGGAGCTGGCCAAAATCAGCAAAGTGTTGATGGCCATGGAGCAGAGAAGAGTGACGGAATTCGAAGGAAAGAGCCTCGACCAGATACAAATTGAGCCTGAAGGTAATTCTTGATATTATTAAAATATGTATGATTTTTTTCCCCTAAAGGCCACTTGTATTTTTATTTTCTGTGCGACAGGGAGAGCAGTAGAGATCCTCTCACAAACGGACGGGCTAAAAGAAACTTCAAGCGGAGAACCTTCAACCATTCATCCAGATGCACCCCATGGTAGTGGCAGTGCCCCTTCTGGTAAGTGTACCAGGTGGGGGATTACAGCCAGGCTGCTTGGTCCTAACCCTGGGAGTGTATATTGCTAATATATTTTTATTTCTCTCCCTAGAACGTTAGAGAAAGCCATGGTCTGCATCTGAGGTGAAGGCTGTGGAGAAGACCATGACGCCTTTCATACAGACTGGAAAGGTCCCTGGGAAGTCTCACTGCCTGGCCTGGCCTGGCCTGGCCTGGCCTGGCCTGCATTAATGCCTCACCAGATGACCTTAGACATCGGACATGGAGTGGCATTAAATTCTATGTCAAAAATAGAATCACTGCAATTCGAAAAAAAAATCTAAAATAAAATTCCTTTAAAATAGTTGTTTGGTTTCTATTGACTGTTTTGTATTACTTAAAGTAGTCCCAGTAAAAAAAGATTATGTCTATGGGTCCCATTCTGAACGGCCCTGTCAAAGGGACCCACCAGGTAACAAAAACGTGTATGTGTGAGTGTGTGTGTGTGTGTGTGTGAGTGTGCGTGTGCGTGTTTGTGTGTGTGTGTGTGTGTGTGTGTGTGTGTGTTCTCGTTTGTGAATATTTTGTCCATATGGCTGTTATTGGTGGAATGTCTTAATGTTAGATCACTGTTGTAAATATGTGTTTTAGGGCTAGGCCTATTTTATTCATTCTGTATAATGTGTCGCACTGTAGGGAAAAGCTCAACCAGGGACAGGAGAGAACATTAGCATTAGCATTAGCATTAGCTATACACTCTGTATGTGTCGCATCAGCTGCATTTTCATAATGTAACTATGTATGACTACATTGTCCCTGTCAAATAAATGAATAAATAAATAAATAAAAATAAAAACATTAGTCCTGACTAGAACCAGGAAGTACGACCACATTAGTCCTGACTAGAACCAGGAAGTACGACCACATTAGTCCTGACTAGAACCAGGAAGTACGACCACATTAGTCCAGTTCTCAGGTCTCTGCACTGGCTTCCTGTGGCTCAGAGAATAGACTTTAAAACAGCTCTGCTTGTTACAAGTCTCTCCATGGCCTCGCACCAAACTATATTAGTGACATGTTAGTCCCATATGAACCAGCCCGGACTCTGAGGAGCACAGGGACTGGACTCCTGCTGGGACTCTGAGGAGCACAGGGACTGGACTCCTGCTGGGACTCTGAGGAGCACAGGGACTGGACTCCTGCTGGGACTCTGAGGAGCACAGGGACTGGGCTCCTGCTGGGACTCTGAGGAGCACAGGGACTGGACTCCTGCTGGGACTCTGAGGAGCACAGGGACTGGACTTCTGAGTCAGAACTAAACATGGAGAGGCTGCTTTTCAGATTCATGCTGAGTGGATAGCACTCTCGCCTCTCAGCAAGAAGGTTCTGGGTTCGAATCCCGGTCGGAACAGGGCCTTTCTGAGTGGAGTTTGCATGTTCTCTCCGTGTCTGCGTAGGTTTCCTCCTGGTACTCCGGCTTCCCCTACCACTAAAAACATGTGCAATAGTTCTGGGTGAATGAGTGAGTGTGACTTCCGGATGGAAATGATCTCATGACTACAATCTGGAGTGACGTGTTTATGAACATGTACTGTCCCATCCAAATAAAATTATTAAAAAAATCTTATTTAACTGGGAACACTTTGAATTTCTTATTTTTCCCGCTGAAACTGACCGGTAGACTGTCTGTGATGGATGCATGAACTCGTGCTTCTGGGGGTTCCATTTTCACAGTGCAGCACATGGACTTTTAGGGACTGTGTGAACGTGAGAATAAACTTAAACACATGATATTATAAAATTATTCTGAAACATTTTGTACTGGAACTTAACGTTTTTGTCTACACCCAAAAGACTTAACACAAATAAATAACATGCATTGGTAACATTTGTGAACTTTTGATCATTGTGTTTCTACCTGTGTTTGTGGACTTTTGATCATTGTGTTTCTACCTGTGTTTCTGACTGTTGTGTTGGTGTTTCTTGCATTGCCTCTGCCGCCCGTTCATGGCCTTTGTTTTCAGCGTCTTCTTCAGAGTCTTTTCAGTGTTGTAGACATATTTGGATACAGACGCAGTTATCCAAAAGGTCCTAGCTTGGACCTTCTGTGTCCGAGTCTTGTATTTTCACTATCTCTGGGACATCTGAATAAGTTGTTGTTGTTATCTGTCTTACCACACCATTGTACTCATTTCATTCTGTACTAAGGTCTGGAGGTGCTCCATTGACTCCGTTAACAGGTGGGAGGGGCTAACTCCTTTTGCAGATTGGGTCTGAGTTTACTGTGACGTATGTAGTGCGCCCGAGTGAGTCCTTAGGATTTAGCCGAGCTTTAGCATTTAGCCTAGCTTTAGCATTTAGCCTAGCTTTAGCCATCTCTTTTGCCGCTAACGGAGCCCGTGGGGAGTAGCGCCACAATCTTTGCTAATTAAATTTACTAAACATTCCTCTTGCTCGTCAGTTTCTTGATAGAATCAGACCAGAATACTTTACTATCACATTCTTCACCAAACTACAACCTGCTCGTTCGGCGCAAACTCTTGACGTCACCCACAACTAACTACAACACCCGCCTCCCGCGCTCTCTGATTGGTTGGATGGAATTCAACAGATGTAATCGCAGACACTAGTTCAAATCCCGGTTGGAACGGGGTCTTTCTGAGTGGAGTTTGCATGTTCTCCTCGTGCTTGCATAGGTTTCCTCTGGGTACTCCGGTTTCCCCTACCACTAAAAACATGCACACTAGGTTAAATCCTCCAGCTCCGAGCATCAAAATCTGGAAATGGGGTCAAATGCAGAGGATGAATTGTCCTACGGGGATCAATAAAGTGCACATTTACGTTTACCTTTTAGACCCAGACAGTACAAGCAGAGAAATGATAATGGATCTGAGTGTGCGGATGACTACAGCCAGGGTAGTCTGATTAAGGAAGAGACTATTTTATAATTGCTAGGTTGCAACCTTGTGACCAAAAAGGGGCGTGGCAAGGAGTCGTAGGACAGGAAGTATTTTTCTCTTATTAAATAAAATGGGCGATGCGGGAAAACCAGTGTGGGCGGGTCCTGGCTCAAAAGTGGCCAAAATGGCGTGCGCTGACATGCTGCAATACCACCCCGGGCCTGTGGGGGTGGACCCAGAATAAGAATTAGCCAATGCTAACATATAGCATCTTCTCGAAAACGTCTTTACAGGATGGTCCAAAAGTTGTCTCTTGGCCCAAAGCTCCGTTCCACATGTGTGTCAATGCTGAGTGTTCTGGACCAGTCTAGTTTAGTCGCTGTGGACTTTAGAAGTCTCGTTCAAATGAATGGAGCTCTCGTCGGCTGACGCATGCGCAGATGCGGTTTTTCACAATATTCTTGTGGGCGGGACCACTCGCGACCACATTTTTTGGCCCATTTGTTTGAACAGCGGAGATAGGCGTGACTAATATCACTCTTATTTTGAGTGAAAACTATTTTTAATGCAGCGTACGCTTTGTAGTGTTTGAATGAGTCCAATTGTTTCAACATTGAGGATTAAGCAGCTGTTATAGTGACGACAGTGAAGTCTGGGATCAACAGAACCACGTCTGAGATGATAGTTCTGATCAATAATACTGTAAATAACAGATGATACGTTTGACAACATTTGAGAAATATGACCCTGTGTTGTCATTTCAGTGATTTGTTGAGCTGTAAACAACAACAAATTTGGATATATGCTCCAGAGGCTCTTTAACTAAGAGCAGTAAGCTAACAGCAATAAGCTAACAGCAGTAAGCTAACAGCAGTAAGCTAACAGCAGTAAGCTAACGGCAGTAAGCTAACAGCAGTAAGCTAACAGCAGTAAGCTAACAGCGGGGGCTGCAACAAACGCAGCCGTCCTGGGGGCACAGAGCTCAGATAAAACTTCAGACATTACCCTGGTCCTCACAGTCCCAGGTCCTCACAGTCCCAGGTCCTCACAGTCCCAGGTCCTCACAGTCCCAGGTCCTCACAGTCCCAGGTCCTCACAGTCCCAGGTCCTCACAGTCCCAGGTCCTCACAGTCCCAGGTCCTCACAGTCCCAGGTCCTCACAGTCCCAGGTCCTCACAGTCCCAGGTCCTCACAGTCCCAGGTCCTCACAGTCCCAGGTCCTCACAGTCCCAGGTCCTCACAGTCCCAGGTCCTCACAGTCCCAGGTCCTCACAGTCCCAGGTCCTCACAGTCCCAGGTCCTCACAGTCCCAGGTCCTCACAGTCCCAGGTCCTCACAGTCCCAGGTCCTCACAGTCCCAGGTCCTCACAGTGCCCCAGTCTCAGCCCTGGTCCTCACAGTCTCAGACCCAGGTCCTCACAGTCCCAGACCCTGGTCCTCACAGTCCCAGACCCTGGTCCTCACAGTCTCAGACCCTGGTCCTCACAGTCTCAGACCCAGGTCCTCACAGTCCCAGACCCTGGTCCTCACAGTCCCAGACCCTGGTCCTCACAGTCCCAGTCCCCGGTCCTCACAGTCTCAGACCCTGGTCCTCACAGTCCCAGGTCCTCACAGTCCCAGACCCTGGTCCTCACAGTCCCAGACCCTGGTCTTCACAGTCCCAGGTCCTCACAGTCCCAGGTCCTCACAGTCCCAGGTCCTCACAGTCCCAGGTCCTCACTGTCCCAGGTCCTCACAGTCCCAGGTCCTCACAGTCCCAGGTCCTCACAGTCCCAGGTCCTCACAGTCCCAGGTCCTCACAGTCCCTGGTCCTCACAGTCCCAGGTCCTCACAGTCCCAGGTCCTCACAGTCCCAGGTCCTCACAGTCCCAGGTCCTCACAGTCCCAGGTCCTCACAGTCCCAGGTCCTCACAGTCTCAGGTCCTCACAGTCTCAGACCCTGGTCCTCACAGTCCCAGGTCCTCACAGTCCCAGACCCTGGTCCTCACAGTCCCAGACCCTGGTCCTCACAGTCTCAGACCCTGGTCCTCACAGTCACAGACCCTGGTCCTCACAGTCACAGACCCTGGTCCTCACAGTCACAGACCCTGGACCTCACAGTCTCAGACCCTGGTCCTCACAGTCACAGACCCTGGTCCTCACAGTCTCAGACCCTGGTCCTCACAGTCACAGACCCTGGTCCTCACAGTCTCAGACCCTGGTCCTCACAGTCACAGACCCTGGTCCTCACAGTCTCAGACCCTGGTCCTCACAGTCTCAGACCCTGGTCCTCACAGTCTCAGACCCTGGTCCTCACAGTCTCAGACCCTGGTCCTCACAGTCACAGACCCTGGTCCTCACAGTCCCAGACCCTGGTCCTCACAGTCACAGACCCTGGTCCTCACAGTCTCAGACCCTGGTCCTCACAGTCCCAGACCCTGGTCCTCACAGTCACAGACCCTGGTCCTCACAGTCTCAGACCCTGGTCCTCACAGTCTCAGACCCTGGTCCTCACAGTCCCAGACCCTGGTCCTCACAGTCTCAGACCCTGGTCCTCACAGTCCCAGACCCTGGTCCTCACAGTCCCAGACCCTGGTCCTCACAGTCTCAGACCCTGGTCCTCACAGTCACAGACCCTGGTCCTCACAGTCTCAGACCCTGGTCCTCACAGTCCCAGACCCTGGTCCTCACAGTCTCAGACCCTGGTCCTCACAGTCTCAGACCCTGGTCCTCACAGTCTCAGACCCTGGTCCTCACAGTCCCAGACCCTGGTCCTCACAGTCACAGACCCTGGTCCTCACAGTCTCAGACCCTGGTCCTCACAGTCTCAGACCCTGGTCCTCACAGTCTCAGACCCTGGTCCTCACAGTCACAGACCCTGGTCCTCACAGTCACAGACCCTGGTCCTCACAGTCTCAGACCCTGGTCCTCACAGTCTCAGACCCTGGTCCTCACAGTCTCAGACCCTGGTCCTCACAGTCCCAGACCCTGGTCCTCACAGTCACAGACCCTGGTCCTCACAGTCTCAGACCCTGGTCCTCACAGTCTCAGACCCTGGTCCTCACAGTCTCAGACCCTGGTCCTCACAGTCCCAGACCCTGGTCCTCACAGTCCCAGACCCTGGTCCTCACAGTCACAGACCCTGGTCCTCACAGACCCTGGTCCTCACAGTCTCAGACCCTGGTCCTCACAGTCACAGACCCTGGTCCTCACAGTCACAGACCCTGGTCCTCACAGTCTCAGACCCTGGTCCTCACAGTCTCAGACCCTGGTCCTCACAGTCTCAGACCCTGGTCCTCACAGTCTCAGACCCTGGTCCTCACAGTCTCAGACCCTGGTCCTCACAGTCCCAGACCCTGGTCCTCACAGTCACAGACCCTGGTCCTCACAGTCCCAGACCCTGGTCCTCACAGTCTCAGACCCTGGTCCTCACAGTCACAGACCCTGGTCCTCACAGTCTCAGACCCTGGTCCTCACAGTCTCAGACCCTGGTCCTCACAGTCTCAGACCCTGGTCCTCACAGTCCCAGACCCTGGTCCTCACAGTCACAGACCCTGGTCCTCACAGTCACAGACCCTGGTCCTCACAGTCTCAGACCCTGGTCCTCACAGTCCCAGACCCTGGTCCTCACAGACCCTGGTCCTCACAGTCTCAGACCCTGGTCCTCACAGTCTCAGACCCTGGTCCTCACAGTCACAGACCCTGGTCCTCACAGTCCCAGACCCTGGTCCTCACAGTCTCAGACCCTGGTCCTCACAGTCTCAGACCCTGGTCCTCACAGTCCCAGACCCTGGTCCTCACAGTCACAGACCCTGGTCCTCACAGTCCCAGACCCTGGTCCTCACAGTCTCAGACCCTGGTCCTCACAGTCTCAGACCCTGGTCCTCACAGTCTCAGACCCTGGTCCTCACAGTCTCAGACCCTGGTCCTCACAGTCACAGACCCTGGTCCTCACAGTCTCAGACCCTGGTCCTCACAGTCTCAGACCCTGGTCCTCACAGTCTCAGACCCTGGTCCTCACAGTCTCAGACCCTGGTCCTCACAGTCCCAGACCCTGGTCCTCACAGTCTCAGACCCTGGTCCTCACAGTCTCAGACCCTGGTCCTCACAGTCCCAGACCCTGGTCCTCACAGTCTCAGACCCTGGTCCTCACAGTCTCAGACCCTGGTCCTCACAGTCTCAGACCCTGGTCCTCACAGTCTCAGACCCTGGTCCTCACAGTCTCAGACCCTGGTCCTCACAGTCTCAGACCCTGGTCCTCACAGTCTCAGACCCTGGTCCTCACAGTCACAGACCCTGGTCCTCACAGTCTCAGACCCTGGTCCTCACAGTCTCAGACCCTGGTCCTCACAGTCTCAGACCCTGGTCCTCACAGTCTCAGACCCTGGTCCTCACAGTCTCAGACCCTGGTCCTCACAGTCTCAGACCCTGGTCCTCACAGTCCCAGACCCTGGTCCTCACAGTCTCAGACCCTGGTCCTCACAGTCTCAGACCCTGGTCCTCACAGTCTCAGACCCTGGTCCTCACAGTCTCAGACCCTGGTCCTCACAGTCTCAGACCCTGGTCCTCACAGTCTCAGACCCTGGTCCTCACAGTCTCAGACCCTGGTCCTCACAGTCTCAGACCCTGGTCCTCACAGTCCCAGACCCTAGTCCTCACAGTCTCAGACCCTGGTCCTCACAGTCTCAGACCCTGGTCCTCACAGTCTCAGACCCTGGTCCTCACAGTCTCAGACCCTGGTCCTCACAGTCTCAGACCCTGGTCCTCACAGTCCCAGACCCTGGTCCTCACAGTCTCAGACCCTGGTCCTCACAGTCTCAGACCCTGGTCCTCACAGTCCCAGACCCTGGTCCTCACAGTCACAGACCCTGGTCCTCACAGTCCCAGACCCTGGTCCTCACAGTCCCAGACCCTGGTCCTCACAGTCTCAGACCCTGGTCCTCACAGTCTCAGACCCTGGTCCTCACAGTCACAGACCCTGGTCCTCACAGTCTCAGACCCTGGTCCTCACAGTCTCAGACCCTGGTCCTCACAGTCTCAGACCCTGGTCCTCACAGTCTCAGACCCTGGTCCTCACAGTCCCAGACCCTGGTCCTCACAGTCTCAGACCCTGGTCCTCACAGTCTCAGACCCTGGTCCTCACAGTCCCAGACCCTGGTCCTCACAGTCTCAGACCCTGGTCCTCACAGTCCCAGACCCTGGTCCTCACAGTCTCAGACCCTGGTCCTCACAGTCCCAGACCCTGGTCCTCACAGTCTCAGACCCTGGTCCTCACAGTCTCAGACCCTGGTCCTCACAGTCACAGACCCTGGTCCTCACAGTCTCAGACCCTGGTCCTCACAGTCTCAGACCCTGGTCCTCACAGTCTCAGACCCTGGTCCTCACAGTCCCAGACCCTGGTCCTCACAGTCTCAGACCCTGGTCCTCACAGTCTCAGACCCTGGTCCTCACAGTCCCAGACCCTGGTCCTCACAGTCTCAGACCCTGGTCCTCACAGTCTCAGACCCTGGTCCCTCACAGTCCCAGACCCTGGTCCTCACAGTCTCAGACCCTGGTCCTCACAGTCTCAGACCCTGGTCCTCACAGTCTCAGACCCTGGTCCTCACAGTCTCAGACCCTGGTCCTCACAGTCTCAGACCCTGGTCCTCACAGTCACAGACCCTGGTCCTCACAGACCCTGGTCCTCACAGTCTCAGACCCTGGTCCTCACAGTCACAGACCCTGGTCCTCACAGTCTCAGACCCTGGTCCTCACAGTCTCAGACCCTGGTCCTCACAGTCTCAGACCCTGGTCCTCACAGTCTCAGACCCTGGTCCTCACAGTCACAGACCCTGGTCCTCACAGTCTCAGACCCTGGACCTCACAGTCTCAGACCCTGGTCCTCACAGTCCCAGACCCTGGTCCTCACAGTCTCAGACCCTGGTCCTCACAGTCCCAGACCCTGGTCCTCACAGTCACAGACCCTGGTCCTCACAGTCCCAGACCCTGGTCCTCACAGTCACAGACCCTGGTCCTCACAGTCCCAGACCCTGGTCCTCACAGTCTCAGACCCTGGTCCTCACAGTCTCAGACCCTGGTCCTCACAGTCTCAGACCCTGGTCCTCACAGTCACAGACCCTGGTCCTCACAGTCCCAGACCCTGGACCTCACAGTCTCAGACCCTGGTCCTCACAGTCCCAGACCCTGGTCCTCACAGTCTCAGACCCTGGTCCTCACAGTCTCAGACCCTGGTCCTCACAGTCTCAGACCCTGGTCCTCACAGTCCCAGACCCTGGTCCTCACAGTCACAGACCCTGGTCCTCACAGTCTCAGACCCTGGTCCTCACAGTCCCAGACCCTGGTCCTCACAGTCTCAGACCCTGGTCCTCACAGTCTCAGACCCTGGTCCTCACAGTCTCAGACCCTGGTCCTCACAGTCTCAGACCCTGGTCCTCACAGTCTCAGACCCTGGTCCTCACAGTCTCAGACCCTGGTCCTCACAGTCTCAGACCCTGGTCCTCACAGTCCCAGACCCTGGTCCTCACAGTCTCAGACCCTGGTCCTCACAGTCTCAGACCCTGGTCCTCACAGTCTCAGACCCTGGTCCTCACAGTCTCAGACCCTGGTCCTCACAGTCCCAGACCCTGGTCCTCACAGTCTCAGACCCTGGTCCTCACAGTCTCAGACCCTGGTCCTCACAGTCTCAGACCCTGGTCCTCACAGTCTCAGACCCTGGTCCTCACAGTCTCAGACCCTGGTCCTCACAGTCCCAGACCCTGGTCCTCACAGTCCCAGACCCTGGTCCTCACAGTCCCAGACCCTGGTCCTCACAGTCACAGACCCTGGTCCTCACAGTCTCAGACCCTGGTCCTCACAGTCTCAGACCCTGGTCCTCACAGTCCCAGACCCTGGTCCTCACAGTCTCAGACCCTGGTCCTCACAGTCACAGACCCTGGTCCTCACAGTCCCAGACCCTGGTCCTCACAGTCCCAGACCCTGGTCCTCACAGTCACAGACCCTGGTCCTCACAGTCTCAGACCCTGGACCTCACAGTCTCAGACCCTGGACCTCACAGTCTCAGACCCTGGTCCTCACAGTCTCAGACCCTGGTCCTCACAGTCCCTGGTCCTCACAGTCTCAGACCCTGGACCTCACAGTCTCAGACCCTGGTCCTCACAGTCTCAGACCCTGGTCCTCACCGTCTCAGACCCTGGTCCTCACAGTCTCAGACCCTGGTCCTCACAGTCTCAGACCCTGGTCCTCACAGTCACAGACCCTGGTCCTCACAGTCTCAGACCCTGGACCTCACAGTCTCAGACCCTGGTCCTCACAGTCCCAGACCCTGGTCCTCACAGTCACAGACCCTGGTCCTCACAGTCTCAGACCCTGGACCTCACAGTCTCAGACCCTGGTCCTCACAGTCTCAGACCCTGGTCCTCACAGTCCCTGGTCCTCACAGTCTCAGACCCTGGTCCTCACAGTCACAGACCCTGGTCCTCACAGTCTCAGACCCTGGACCTCACAGTCTCAGACCCTGGTCCTCACAGTCTCAGACCCTGGTCCTCACAGTCCCTGGTCCTCACAGTCTCAGACCCTGGACCTCACAGTCTCAGACCCTGGTCCTCACAGTCACAGACCCTGGTCCTCACAGTCTCAGACCCTGGACCTCACAGTCTCAGACCCTGGTCCTCACAGTCTCAGACCCTGGTCCTCACAGTCCCTGGTCCTCACAGTCTCAGACCCTGGACCTCACAGTCTCAGACCCTGGTCCTCACAGTCCCAGACCCTGGTCCTCACAGTCACAGACCCTGGTCCTCACAGTCTCAGACCCTGGTCCTCACAGTCTCAGACCCTGGTCCTCACAGTCTCAGACCCTGGTCCTCACAGTCCCAGACCCTGGTCCTCACAGTCTCAGACCCTGGTCCTCACAGTCTCAGACCCTGGTCCTCACAGTCTCAGACCCTGGTCCTCACAGTCCCAGACCCTGGTCCTCACAGTCTCAGACCCTGGTCCTCACAGTCTCAGACCCTGGTCCTCACAGTCCCAGACCCTGGTCCTGTTGTGTCTGGTCCTCACAGTCCCAGACCCTGGTACCCTGGATCACACTCACAGTCTCAGACCCTGGTCCTCACAGTCCCAGACCCTGGTCCTCACAGTCACAGACCCTGGTCCTCACAGTCACAGACCCTGGTCCTCACAGACCCTGGTCCTCACAGTCACAGACCCTGGTCCTCACAGTCCGAACAGTCCTCACAGACCCTGGTCCTCACAGTCACAGACCCTGGTCCTCACAGTCACACCCTGGTCCTCACAGTCACAGACCCTGGTCCTCACAGTCACAACAGACCCTGGTCAGACCCTGGTCGTACAATGAAAAAATATATAGTTTATTACCTCACACTATATCCAATTTGAACTTGCAGAACTTTGCCACTATCTAGCAATACATGTCCTGTCCATATTTGTATCTCTGCTCTTTTTTGTGATTTTAACCATTTGTTCCACATTGATTCCATTAACAATGGAAATGTCTGTGGCTTAAATCACCAACATTACCCCAACAAGTAGCACTTACTGCTTTCAAATATCAAGTCAGTGCAACTGCCAGGGCAATGTGAATGACCGGGCTATATAAAACCGAAAAATAGCCTTCAAAACGTAAAAAGGCAGACAATTATTGATGGTAAATTCACAACCAAGACAACCCCAAAAAGAAGCACTTGTGAAAGCAGAAGCCACGAGTGATCCTATTTGAGGTTGTCTTAATGTGCTGCATTAGAAAGCCTGAGTCTTTGAATGGAGTCAGCAGTGGCCAAAGTTGCTTGTCTCTCTGGTCCCTCTTCATCTGTACTCATTGCTGCATGTAGTGAGTATTTCTAACTCAAGAGAGTGGTTCTTTTATAATGGAAAAGTCACAGTAGCCACGCCCTCTTTTCAGGTAGTAGCAGCAGACGTGAAGGAGGCCAGTCAGGCTTGTTTGTCAACAATGTTGTCTCTCTAGATACTCAGCAAACAAACAATGTACCATGATCAATGAAAAAAAAAAACTTTATTACCTCACACTATATCCAATTTGAACTTGCAGAACGTTGTCACTATCTAGCAATACATTTCCTGTCCATCTTTGTATCTCTGCTCTTTTTTGTGATTTTAATCATTCGTTCCACATTGATTCCATTAACAATGGAAATGTCTGTGGCTTAAATCACCAACATTACCCCAACAAGTAGCACTTACTGCTTTAAAATATCAAGTCAGTGCAACTGCCAGGGCAATGTGAATGACCGGGCTATATAAAACCCAAAAATAGCCTTCAAAAGGTAACAAGGCAGACAATTATGGATGGTAAATTCACAACCAAGACAACCCCAAAAAGAAGCACTTGTGAAAGCAGAAGCCACGAGTGATCCTATTTGAGGTTGTCTTAATGTGCTGCATTAGAAAGCCTGAGTCTTTGAATGGAGTCAGCGGTGGCCAAAGTTGCTTGTCTCTCTGGTCCTTCTTCATCTGCTGCTGCCAAGCCCTCTTTTCAAGTAGTATCAGCAGATGTTAAGGAGGCCAGTCAGGCTTGATGTCAACTATGTTGTCTCTGTAGATACTCCGCAAACAAACAATGTACAATGAAAAAAATATATAGTTTATTACCTCACACTATATCCAATTTGAACTTGCAGAACTTTGCCACTATCTTGTATTGTTGTGACTGACGTGACTTCCTGTATCCGGTGAGCGTGTTTCTTGACTGCTATCACTCTGCTCTCTGTTTGCACTAACAAACACATTACAAATCCACGTATTGTACACCAAGCTAACTGTGTAAGCACTCCGAGTCAGCTGTACTGTAGCTGAGGTTTAGGTAGCGGTTGTTTGTCTGGTCTCGGAGTCTGTTGTGCGGGCCCGGATCCGTACTAGCTTAGCCTAGCCTAGCTTAGCCTAGCCTAGCCGCTAACTCGCTACTATGGCGGCTGCTGTCTCTCCCTCAATCCTTTACTGCTCGAGTTGCCATATGGCGAGTCTAAACCCTGGATCCTTCTCTGAGGGTAGTGATAGATGTGTGAAGTGTAGTGTAGTCGTAGCTCTGGAATCCAGGGTCAGTGAGTTAGAGCTGCGTCTCCGAGCACTGGAGTCTCGAGCTAGCGCTAGCATTAGCTACAGCCAGGCCGTATCCTCAGGGACAGCGGAGCGCAGCTTTAGGGAAAGGCAGAGGAGAACTAGCAAGCCTAGCCTCCCAGCCCGTCCTCCGCAGCTGGGACAAGACCAGGATAGTGATGGCTTTGTGACTGTTCGGAGAGGGCGACGTGTTGTTGGTAGTTTCCCCATTGGGCCTCCTCCTGTTAGCATTTACAATCGCTGGGACGCTCTGTCCGGCTGCGCCCCCGCGCGGCCGGGCGGGGTAGAAGGCCCCACTGAGAGAGCCGCTGAGAGAGCTGCTGAGAGAGCCGATGGAGTCGCTGATGCGCTGGTAATTGGCTCCTCTATTGTTAGAGGTGTTAAGATCCCAGGAGCCACTGTTCGGTGCTTCCCTGGGGCCAGGCTTGGTGATATTGAAGGGAATCTGAGGCTCATGATGACCCACAAGCAGCGTTTCCGTCGAATTGTTATTCACGCGGGTGGTAATGACGTTCGGCGGAAACAGTCCGAGGTGTTGAAGCTGCAAGTCGCCGCCGTGTGCAAGCTGGCTAGCACAATGGCCGACACTGTCATCTTCTCTGGGCCCCTACCTAGCACTAGCAGTGCAGAAGCATTCAGCAGACACTCGGCTTTCAACCGCTGGCTGTCTGGCTGGTGCCCTCGAAGTGGTGTTGTTCATGTTGACAATTGGAGTGCCTTTTGGGGAAAGCCCGGTCTCATCCGCTCGGATGATATCCACCCAACGTTGGCGGGTACATCCCTTTTGGCTAAGAATTTGGCCCTGGCTCTAAACTGTTCTGCTCGGCTCAAATGACGATGCAGAACTGAGGCCCGGGTGCAGAGCTGCTCTGCCACAACCTCTGAGCCCCCATCTGTTCAGTTACTAGCCTCAGAGGCTAGTCAGATTGAAACTGTGTGTGCATGTGTGTGTGTGCCTGTGTGTGCTCAGTTACTAGCCTCAGAACCTAGTCAGATTGAAACTGTGTGTGTTCCCCGCTTGAAGTCTAAAGCACTATATGCGAGGAAATCTGACCTAGGTGTCAGACACAGTAACTTAATAAAAGTTCAGACAGACAGAAATAGTTCTAACAGTAGGGTTGTTAAATGTGGTTTAATGAACGTCAGATCAATCTCGTCTAAATCGCTTCTCATAAACGAACTTATTATAGACAAGGGCTTGGATCTGTTAGCGCTCTCGGAGACTTGGCTCCAACAGGACGAGTACGTTAGATTGAATGAGTGCACTCCTCCGACGCATGTTAACTACCAGAAAGCCAGAGCTACAGGTCGCGGCGGTGGTGTTGCGATTATATCACACACCAACTTGGTTCTTAGTCCCAAAACCAACAACGCTTTTCACTCGTTTGAAAACTTAACACTTTCAATCACCTGTCCTGGGTGGAGAAAACAAAAAGCAGTACTATTTATAGTTTTATACCGACCTCCTGGTCCTTACAGCGAGTTCCTAACAGAATTCTCTGACTTCATTTCAAACCTAGTTTTGGAATGGGAAAACATAGTTATAGCTGGAGACTTCAATATACATGTGGACGACAGCACTGACAGCTTAAACAAAGCTTTCAGCGCCGTACTAGATGGTGTTGGTTTTACTCAGAATGTCGAGGAACCTACTCACATTCATAACCACACCTTGGACCTTGTCCTGACCTACGGCTGTGATGTCTCCAATGTTGACATCCAGCGTCAAAGCTCGTTGCTGTCTGACCATTTCTTGATCACGTTTGATCTCGCTTTGGAGGACTTTCCTGTCCCGCAAGATAAAACCATAATGAAAAGAACCTTAAATGATAAATCTATCACAAGGTTCAAAGAACTAATACAGCCTATGTTGAATACTGCTGCAGGTGAACCTGTTCACAGCAGCTGCAGTCCCTCAGTCATCGACCAAACGGTGGGCAACACTATGGAGTCTTTAAAATCTGCATTAAATGCAGCAGCTCCTTTAAAACAGAAAACCATTAGGATTAGATCATCGTCGCCCTGGTACAGTGTTCAACTCCACACTTTAAAACAGGACGTCAGAAAATTGGAGAGGCTATATCGCCACTCCCACTCGGAGCCTGTCCACAGGGAGTGGAAAGCAGGTCTCCGAAACTACAAGAAGGCCCTTCGCGGGGCTCGAACTCAATACTATTCAACTTTAATAGAAGCGAATAAAAACAACAGTAGATTTTTGTTTGGTACCGTCGCTAAACTCACAAACTGCCATAGCGCAATCGAGCCTAAAATTCCAAGCTCACTGAGCAGTGTCGACTTTCTCCACTTCTTTAATAATAAAATTACATCCATCCGTGACAAGCTGGAGGAGGTTGCTCCTGCTGTTAGTGGTGGACAGGTTGAAGCGGCATACGTGACTTCCCACTTAGACTCTTCAGTGGGCCTTAATAAATTCATGGCTGTGAGCCAAGCAGAGGTGATCTCTGTGGTCACATCCTCAAAAGCCTCAACTTGCATGTTAGACGCAGTCCCGACATGGCTCTTCAAAGACATACTTCCTTTGATAATTGAGCCTATCGTAAATATAATAAACGCATCCATACAATGTGGCTATGTCCCACAAGCTTTTAAAACCGCGGTAATCAAACCCCTTCTGAAGAAAACAAACCTGGACCCAGAAATACTTACAAACTACAGACCGATCTCGAACCTCACTTTTATATCTAAAATCCTGGAAAAACTTATAGCTGAGCAGCTCCGCTGCCACCTGCAGGAAAATGATATGTTTGAAGTCTTTCAATCAGGATTCAGAGCTCATCATAGCACTGAAACGGCACTAGTCAAAGTCACAAATGACTTACTACTAGCTGCCGATAATGGACAAGTGTCAGTGCTGGTCCTACTGGACCTTAGTGCTGCATTTGACACAATAGACCACAGCATTCTACTGCAGAGGCTAGAATGTGATATAGGTCTTAGAGGAACAGCCCTTGGCTGGTTTAAATCCTATTTATCAGATCGATATCACTTCGTCAATGTGAATCAGGACTCGTCGCCTTATTCTGGAGTGGAATTCGGTGTGCCGCAGGGTTCGGTACTCGGACCGATTCTTTTTACTCTCTACATGCTGCCACTGGGAAACATTATTAAAAAGCATGGAATTAATTTCCACTGCTATGCAGATGACACACAGCTTTATCTGTCGATGAAGCCTAATCAGACAGATCAGCTAGAAAAGCTCAGTGCCTGCATAAAGGACCTTAAAATGTGGATGACTCTTAACTT